CTGTCAAAATTTTCCTTATAATATTTCACATGGTTGGCAATACTGCACATCGAATTCAAGTAGAAATTACGCACTCTGACAGTTAATCGAGACATCAGCTGCGCTAAATGGAATACCTATTTATTGTGCCATGGAACTAGGTCATCCCTTGAGTTTTATAGTAATTTGTAGTTTAATCGATTAGTCGACTTAGATATCCCTACAAAAATATCTTTCTATGAGTCTCTTGTGTAAAGGACACACAATTTTGTTGAGTTGGGATTTATTTTTATTATACAATCCATTTAATAAAACGATTTCGATTTGTAGAAAGTCCTTAAGTGGTACGAATATTTTCAGTTCGCTACCCTAGTAAATGTCTTGTTGTGGGCCTCTTGTGTAAACTATACATCATTTGGACAAACCGCGTGGTACGAAATTTTTCGTTTCCTAGCAAATATACTGTTGTGGGTCTCTTGTGTAAAGTATAGAGAATTTGAATAAACCGCGAACTACTTTTAATATACAGTTCATTTACGATAAGACCTTCGTGGTAGAAAGTTCTAGAGTTGGACCATGATGCAATAATAAGGTAATGTATCAAAACAAAAATCTTTGTTTTTGTCTCGACCATCTGTCAAATTTTTCCTTATAATATTTCACATGGTTGGCAACATTGCACATCGAGTTCAAGTAGAAATTACGCATTTTGACAGTAAATCGAGACATCATCTGCGTCAAATGGACTACCTATTTATTATGCCATGTTATGGGTCTCTTGTGTAAACGATACTGTATTTTGTTAAGCCGGGATTTAATAAAAGGTCTTCGTTTTGTAGAAAGTTATAGAGATGGGCAATCTCGATCGAGAACATGTGTGGAATCTTGACTCATCGTGTCTATGCCGAAAACCTCCAATACCAAACTGTATTTTATCTCCAAGAAGTGATTTTCGATGAATGGCGGTCAATCGATGAAGACTTGCGAATAATTTTCATCGACAGTGTGATGGATAAAATTTTTGAACTTATTCAAAATAAGGGAGGTCCTACCCATTATATATAAAAGTAATTTTATTTTATTTAAGTTTTAAAAAATAAATTTTTCTAATTTTGTAAAAGTGCGTCTATAGTTATGCAACACCAGCAATTTTGAAAGTGCAGAATTCGGCGAAACCATAAAGAATAAATTAATTATTTTTGTTGAATAATATGTGTTTTTGATCGTTTTATTGTGAACAATAACTTAATGGGTCCATTTTATTTCTCAGCTAACATACCAATTGAATTAAGGGTGCGTCTATAGTTATGATACGCAGTGTAGAAACTTCTAGATCTGTCAAAACATTCCTTATAATATTTCACATGGTTGGCAACATTGCACATCGAATTCAAGTAGTAATTACGCATTTTGACCGTTAATCGAGTCCAAGGCCACCCAGGGAGACCAGCTGGATTTCAGCAGTCACTCAAGTTTGCTGTCAAAATTAATTATTGTGAATTGACTTCCATTATGAAAACGTAAACAAAGTTCAAATTTTTGACATCAGACTTGAGAAAAAACAGCTGTTATCCGATTTCGATTGCTACCTGTGTGACCTTATTAATAGATCTTGATCGAGTCATCAGATGCGCTAAATGGTTTACCTTTTTATTGCGCCATGATTTGGACAATCTGTGTTCTGAAGTGATTTAAACTATTTTAGTTCGATCCGCAAGAGGAACTAGTTCACACAGTTAGTTCCATAGTACATTTTAGTTCAATGATTCGTCAAAAGTCGATTTATCTATCCCTAGTAAATGTTTTGCTGTGAGTCTCTTGTGTGAAGGGTACAGAATATTGTTAGGCTGGGTTTTATTTTTTATACAGTCCAGTTATATAGGGCCTTTGCTTTGTAGATAGTTATACAGATTGACAATCTCGTCCCTGAAGTGGTTCGACCTTTATGGGGAATGTTTCCTTTGAACTAATTCGTTCGGCAGTTACACAATTCTAAACGGTTAGGTTCCCTTAAAATGGGATAGGACGCAATTCTAGAAGGTTAGGTTTCCTTAAAATGGGATAGCATTTTTCTATAACAACATGTGGTATGTTTAAGTTAGATTATGAGATTAAAGAATATTTTTTAAAAATCCACGCCTTGTGGCTTCGTTAAAAATATTTTTTTTAATCCAGGACTTGTGGCTTCGTTAAAAATATTTTTTTTTTTAAATCCACGCCTTGTGGCTTCGTTAAAAAAATATTTTTTAAAAATCCAAGCCTTGTGGCTTCGTTAAAAAAAATATTTTTTTAAACATCCAAGCCTTGTGGCTTCGTTAAAAAAAATATAATTCTAATATTACCTATTATAGAGCACCTTCCTCTCTCTCTAATCTCCATCTTCACATGCTAAAAAGTGCGTTTCAAGCTGACAGCTTTAAGAATTAACCGCTCAAAAAAAGAACAAGCACCTAACCGCGTTGATTATAAATCATGTGCGAAAACCTAAAACACATTTCGCTTTTAATTAAATTGTATTTTAAATTTTGTTATCATAGATCTGTGGACATTTTATTTACATTTTTTTTCTGTGTGTGTTACGGTTCTATAACCGGCAACACCTTAAGGAAGTTGGCAATTTTTCAACAATTTAATGTTTTCGGCAATGATCCATGCGAATGTTTGGTTAATTTTTTTACTAAATTAATTCTTGTGGTGTTTTTTTATCCGCGTCTTCTTGGTTGATTTTGGTGTTAATAAAGAACACCCTCCCAGACCCCTTCCCTTGGCCTAAGCAAATATTGGCATGAGTGAAGTGTTTAGAAAGGAAACCGGTCGTTCGTTCAAATGGTCATAACTAAGTGCCAAGAAGGAAGGAGTGTTCCGCCAAAAAAAGAATGAATGAAAAAAAAACTATAACAACAAAAACTATTTTCAAAACTGCTCGAATTTTAAAATTTTTAGTTTGAAATGTTAGTGGGTCAAATGCATAATCTCTTGTAGTTGTTACACATATCTATTTTTTTGCCTTCATCGGGGTAGGTGGTATTATCTTGGATTTCATAATGTTTTCGACTAGGAATTCATTTAATTAATTGCATGTTGCGAATTATATGCAAATCATTAGAAATTAATGTCATTTCTAGGATATTGACAGCTGACAGCTGTTGTCTCCCTGATCTAATAATAATAATATGGCTTCCTGTAATTAACTCCCAGCAGGTTGTGAGTCCGTCCCGCCACATACACACACACGAAATATTTTTTTTCTGTATATGTTGCGTTTTAATGACAATTTGTATGCAAAGAAAATTAATTAAATATGTTAATGGAGCAACTTGATCTATGTTTTGGTTATTGGCTATATGCATACATACATATCGATATGTATGTGGGGGTATTTGCAACCAGTTTACCAGTTTTTATGCAATTTTTCACGATAAATTCCTAAGCCATCAATCTTCAAAAGCATACAAACCATTGCTACACATGACAATTACAAGAATTAGTAAATTGAATGATAATTATTGCGCTTAATGATTTTTATCGCACTTCGTAATTGAATAGAAATAACAACGACTACATATCTATATCATTTACGCAAATTCTAAAATGAATGGAGTGGGAGATTTTCTTATGTTGAAATCCCCAGGAAATGTTAGAACCAAGAGGTTTTTTTATGTTTGGAAGAACTTTAGAAGATTTGCTCACCTTCAGGAGGTCAGGATATTTTGGAATTATTGTGTACTGTATCAGATAGATTAAACTTAACATTCTCGAAATTCTTGTGGTCTGTCTAATATCCTGTTTTATATGGGGTTTTAGAAGAAATACCATTATTGGAATTTTAATGTTTAAATCTGTTGTATCCTCCCTAAATTTAATGTTGTTAACTCTTATTTTAATGTCCAATAAATATGTGTATCTTTACATAACCTAAAAATTATTAGGAATTTACTTCTATGTATGTCGAGAGAGGAATGAAATCCTATACCATATGAAATAGATACTTCAGTCATAAATTCTAAAATGTATTCCACTTCTTAAAATGTCAATCAACCATAAATTTACATTCCTTTCTCTATTCGGTTTCCTCTACTTCCTCTATACCAATTGTTTGTTTACTTCTCCTACACAGTAACACATTGACCAAACTCTAAATGACAACCATACAATGGAAATATACAAGAACTACATTTTTGTTTTACTTTCCAAAAATAACGGAACAGATTTATTAGGTGTCTTTTTACAATATCTCCATAACACCTACACATTTTTTACAAACAGAAAAAAATGACACAAAATTGTATTAACAAGAACATAAATCAATATAAAAAGTATTCAAAACAATGAAAAAGAACACTTAAGGAATTCAATCAGTTACAAGAAAAAAAATAACGGTTAACCTATTTCTAAATATTTTACATAGGACGAAGTTCATAGAAAGTTTTTTTTTTAAATTTTAAACATTTAAAGGGGCGATTAATTTCTTTACAGACTTTAACAAAAATATTAGGGAATTTAATTGCTCTGGAACCAATATTCTCAGGATTTAAAAACAAAAATTTTAGATATAAATATTCGGAAAATATATGGGGTAATGTTGAATTCAATTACTAGCAGACTAATGTAATAGATATCAAATATAGCTCTACAAAGTTTTTTTTTTTTTTTTTTTTTTGAGTTCAATGAACTGTCGGTTTTTTTTATAAAGTATTTATAAGTTCAGTAGTATGGACGGGTAATTGGGATACCATTTGAATTTTGTTTTTGCAAAATGGTCAGGCTGAATCCCAGTTTGTTGTTAAAAAAAAACAATATTTATTAGTTCAGAATGTATGGCATCTGGCCATTGATCCTCATCAGTTCCCTTAGTATTTTTTTGGGATATTCTCCACAGATATTCTCAGCCTGACTGAGAACAAAAATACAACAAAAATATTTATACGTTCTTTATGGAATATTCAATTTTTTCCCATGATATTTATATCCTTTTCGGATCTGCCCATCCTCCTCCCCATTTACAACCTCTAATTATGTTCTTAACGCTTCAATTCAACTTTGAATCCAACATCTTCATCAGTCTCTAGACCAATATCCGATATCAAAGCCTTCTTGGTTTTCGGGTAACCTTCCAGTATGGCATCCAGCATATCATTACAAATACGTTTTCGCTTCCGATAGGCTGTCGATACATTTGAGTATTTCGTTTCAATTTTCTTAACATCTTGGGAAGAGAGCTGGAAAAGGAGAAGATAAAAGGAAATAAATATTAAAATAAACAGGATCGAAATATTAAATATACAAAAAATCGAGACCCAGATTTTAAATTACCTGCCAAAACATGAAACACTGCAAAGTGAGATTTGCATTCAAAATTCCTAACATCGGTCTTATATGGGAGCTATGTAAAAACTTCGGCCATTGTGAATTATCTGCCAGCAGTTGTTTTCATTAGGCTGGTTAACAAATCGGCTGCAACCCTAAACATACTGACTAGTATTGATCATTTCTGGTAGGTAGAGCCTAAAATACTAAATTATAGCCAATTCTAGTGGAAAACTTGCCCAGAATTCCGAAATTTTGGGTTACGAATAAATCGGGAAGTACCTTCAAAAGTGATCCAATATTGACATTTTTGGTTGGAAGATTTGCTGCCCAATGGGAACCCAAAACAACAAAATAGAACTAATTCGGTTGGAAAACGATCCTAAAATCCCAAAATTTGGAGATACCGTTACATAAGCATTATCCTGAATATAGGACCAATATTGAAACATTTTGGTAGGAAGATTTGCTAATCAATGAGAACCCAAAATAGCAAATTTTAGCCAATTTGTTTGGAAAAAGTGCGCAAAATCCTGAATTACAATTATATGGGTACTGCCATGAAATGTGGACCAATGATAACAATATTTGGTTGGGAGATTTAATACTCAATAAGAACTCAAAATATCAAATTATATCCAATTCGATTTTAATACCTGTCTAAAATCCTCATAGATCGAATATTTAGAGGTATGAGGTCTACCCTGAAAAATAGACCAGCATTGATATTTTTTAGTAAGGAGAGTTGTTAGCCAATGAGAACCCAAAATAACAAATTACAGGCAATTCGGTAACATATCTAAAATACAAACAAATTAGGGTTTGCCATTATATGGGGACTACCATGAAATGTGGACCAATGATGATAATTTTTGGTTGCCAGATTTTGATAGACAATGTGAAACTAAAATACGTCATTACAGCCTTTAGTTGAAAAAACATACCCAAAACTTTAAAATTTCCGAAATTTTGTGGGATTTTAGGGATTTGCTACCCAAATAGAACCAAAAATATTAAAAATATCGATTGGTACTGTAAGTTGGGCCTATACCAAAACGTGGACCCATATATCACATTTCCAATACTAAACATCCTAGGACTAGTACGCGTCAAATTTCAAAGCGCCTTTTTAAATATTTTGAGATCTAAAATGATTTCAAGGGACAGATAGAAAGACGTGTCTAAATCTTCAAAGACTTGTATTCTGAACAAGAACAAATATGATTTATAGGGCCTCCCCTTCTTATGTTCTAGAGTATACACAATTATTAATTTTATTGCAGGCCCCTTTACCTTGGTCTCCTTTTCCTGGGCCTCATAGTGCCGTAGCTTTTCATTGATATTTCGAATATCATCCATGAGATTCTCCTTTTCCTCTTCGAGTTGGGCCAAGGTTTTAATTTTACTCAGAGATCTCAATTTAATTTGCATTTCACTTAGCTGATTTTCTTTCGATTTCAAAACCTGGCGGGCCTGGGCTAATTTTTGTTTGGCCATCATCACATCCTTTTTTAACTGAAATTAAAAATTGGTTAATTTTTTTTTAATTAAGAATTCGAAATTATTTACTTACCTCTCCTATATTATTATTCTGTTTGGGGAAATATATTTTATTTTTACCATACATTTTCATTGCCAAAATCTCCTTGTCCACCAGGGAGTCTAAGGACCTAAAAAGAAAACAAAAATACATATTAAATAAATAATTTCTCTGAGAATAATAAATAGAATTAGTTCGTTTTACTACTCACTTTTGTACGGCCGCCTTTCCCAAATCCTTGCCACAACCATCCACCACATCATTAATGGCATATGGCCGATTGGCTTTTAACATAAATTCTTGGACAACTTTTAGCACCGAAGACTTGGACATCTTAAAATCTGCAACAAAAAAACGAGGACAATAACAAATAATTTGTATAACTTGTATGTTTATTGTCTATATATGTACGTATGTACGTTCTTGTAATCTTACATTTCTCAACAAAACTCACGTGTACCATGACCACTAACCATTATCTTGAAGTTGCTCTGGCTGTGCTATTCCATTCATGCAGATGTTTTATTACCAAAGACATTAACATTATTTATTAACGGTTTTAATATCAATGTTATTACATTCTAAGTTGTTATTTTTATTGCCATACTTTTTTAGTTGTTGTTTTTTTTTCTTTTCTTTAAATACATATTAATTACCAGACACACCACATACGAAAAAATATGCAATTTTATGTCTTGCAGAACGTTTGGAGCTAGAGCTATTACAACCAGAAGATTGACAAATCAGAAATTAATGTAAATGTCTTATGAAAGTGTACCGCAACAAGTGGTAACGCCTGCTTCGCGGCGTCTAGTTAGCAATAAATAATGGATAAGATTTTTTAGAATATTAACAGGAAAATGGTTTGAAGTTCTTTATAAAAAAGAGTGACATAGTCCGGGTGGGTATTTTCGGAAAAAATTTGAAAGGCTAATCATGGTACAATGAATAGGTAGTCCATTTAGAGCAGCTGATGTCTCGATTAACTGTCGAAGTGCGTAATTTCTACTTTAATTCGATGTGCAGTGTTGCCAACCATGTGAAATATTATAAGGAAAAATTTGACAGATAATCGAGACAAAAACAAAGGTTTTTGTTATGATACATCACCTTATTATTGCATCATAGGCTAACTAAATAAAATAGATGTTTGAATAGACGAATCGAAATTTTTTAAGAGATGTCAGATTATAAATCCACTTATATACCCAATTATACCAATATATTCTCTTGACCTTCCATAAAATAAATCGCTTCCATAGATCCTTCAAAAATAGAAATACGCATAAATAGCAGACCGAAAAGTATATTTTGAACATAAAGAGTAATGTTTATACGTGGCTATAAAATTGGGCAGCATAATGGGACCATAGGTTTTCCACAAAGCATCGCTATCTTCCTCAGTTAGTTCGTCGCCATGCATTTCTTGGTCGAAATCGATTTCGTGGTCTTTGGTGATTCCATTTAAGAGTTAGGCATAAGTTAAACGACTTTTTTAGTGAAAAATCTAAAAGTCAATGTCGAATTTGAGGAAATCCCAAAGCGATAACCACATCGACACACTTTCCCGCCCCTGCCGACCGGGACGGCCACCTCCAGATAAAGATATACTATTACATAATTTGTTGTATTCTTCACATAAAGATCGGAGTGGATTACTTAATTCATATTTAGATTTTGTTAATGTTAATATAAAGGGTATGTAGTTTCGGGTACAACACAAGATCTATTTTCTTCATAAATACTAACACAAAGTACAATTTGTGTAAAAATTACACACTCCAGAACTATACTTTATCTATTGTCAACAATTCATAAAAACAACTCAAACTTTTAGTCGATTATGCATTCGTTACTAAAAGTTGGAAATCGATTTTGTACATGTTTGACTCGACTTTTTTTGTCAGTGGCAAAAATTGAAAAGTCTAAAAGACCACTTTTGACACTTTTTCTTAATGTGTGGCCAATCCATCTCAATTCCCTACGTTTAATCTACTATTGAATGGGTTTCTGGTTTGTTAGATTCCCCAGCTCTACATAGCTTATATAACTTATATGCCTGTAGTTTTTTTCTTGACACTGTCTGCTGTATATCAGAATCGATTTTATAAATGCCTCGACGATTTTATACTGGGTTTTCCTAGATATATTTGAGCTTCTCCATGCACCTCGCAGTCATACGAATATTGTCCTCACTTTGTTAAGCATATTGATTACGTTCCTACTTTAAATTTGTTTTTGTATTAGTTCGTGGTCCATTAGGTCCACAACTCTACGTTACTAATGGCGTTGGACCAGAATATTATTCATATAATCCTAAAGAGTCTGCTTATTATATGTTAGGTCAAAGCCTGGTTTAACTGCCGTATATCAGAATCGATTGTATAAACGTTTAAACAGTTTTAAGCTTGATTTTCTTTCGTCCGAATGCTGTTCTCGTTTGTTAAACACATTGATTACGATTTGTTTTGGACCACCCCAAACATTCGTTGTACCAGTACTTCCCAGATGACAGATATTACCGAAATAAATTGTGGCTTGGTCATGTAGCTTGCTGTTTCCTGTACTCGTGCAATTAACTCTCAGAGTGTTCGTTTTCTTAATATAAATCTCAAGACCAACATTGCGAGCCTGTCTCTCCAGGACGTTTGATGTATATCGAATATCTTGTGGGAAAGAGAAGACATATATCATCCGCATAATTGAAGTCTTGTAGTTGCCGTGAGAGATTCCATGATATGCCTCTTATCAGACAGCAATCTTCACCCAGTATTTCATTTAGTACAAGTTTGAGCAGTAGAAGTGGCACGGAAGCAAACGTGCTTTACTCCTGCATTCGGCGAAACACTTGACTTATGTTAGCATTGTAAAGAAGCGAGAGTTCTTTATTCTCGTATATCACTCTTTTTATTCGTATTATTTTCAGGGTTACTACCAGTTCGGCAGTTTATCTGATGGTGTCAAAAGCTTTCTTGAAGTTGACTTACAGTATATACAGGGGAGTATGCAATTGTATAGGTTGTTCTATTATGACACGTAGGGTGATGGCCTGATCCAGGGTTTTATGCCACTGTATAGGTTGTTATATTATGAATCGTAGGGTGAAAACAGCGTCTATTTGTTCTGAAGCCAGCATATGGTATTAGCAAATTGTGCAGTTGTTACAATCTTTACTTCAAAAGCTGATACGGTAGATCGAAGTAACTCAGCTGCAGTTCTGTCGTCAGCGGGTAAACCATATTCTCCTGATGCTTAGTTTCATTCCATTAGCTGTAGCTAGATTACGATGTTTCAACCTCGTAATCTAGCTCAAATTTACCACATATGATAATAGATAATCCCATCACATATTACTGCAATAAATTCTTTTAACACACAGGTTTTATACAAAAATAGATGCCTGTATAACTCTCTCTCCTTTACACAAGAAACACACAGCTAGACATTTAAATTTCTTAGTTTAAAATCAGTTTAGTTTTAAAGTCGGTAAAGAAACTTCCTGCGCAAATTTTTCAACATCTTCCAACACAAGTTTTTTCTATATTTCTAAGTTTAGAATCAGTCGGTAAAAATCTTCCTCCACAAATTTTTAAACATTTTCCAGCACTTCTTCTATTCTTTCAGAAAACTTATAGAGTGAGGCGCACAACTCAATATGTATATCGTATGTAGCAAGTAAGCAGATCTAGCTTACATCTCGTAATCTAACTCATATTTACCACATGTGGGAATAGATCAATTTGCAAAAGTCTCCTACGAGACGAAGTGCTTTGCTAGAGCAGTGCCCATTACTTATACCCACTGGGTTAAGGAAATCGGATACAACATAATATAACCCGAAATGGGAGCATATTATTAGAGTAGATAGAAGAAACAATATTCTCCACACAATCACTAAGTTTTATATTGAAATCCTCTCCGAATATTGTGCATTCAATTTCCCATATTTTAAACAGACTATGTATAACTATAACATAGTTTATATTAACCAAATAGTATTACAAAAAATAAATGTTTGCCATTTTGCAAATACAAATGTCAAATGCTTTGTTTTGTATTTTATGAATCACGTTTTTGGTTTACATTAAAGTGAAGCTGGTGCAGTTGGTATTGAGGCTATAAGCACCTGGTTGTTTGCTAATGCACTGCACCATCTTCTTTTTATGAAGAAGATGACTTGTGCCATTTTGAAGGAAACCCAATTCCACAAAGCAATAAAAATAAAATAAAAACAAATAACACAACTAGATTTCGACAAACTAACAAAAAAGTTCAAATAGTTAGGCAAAGACTAGCATAAAATTCGAAATGGAAAAACGAAACCTCAGTGGCGTAATATAAACCCAAAGATGATTTCGCTTTAAAGGTTACAATAAAATTGAAATATAACATTTAAATATTTTCCTTATTCTGAATTAGCCAAAATGTTAAAAATATAATTTCTAATGTAACTTTTTTCAATTCTCCTTTCTTCCCATAGGGCCGTGATGCCACACCATATTTGGAAAGAAATCGTGTTGGACGTGATGCAATCGATTCGGCGGCAGCCTTAACGGATATGGGTAAATATTTATTCCGTGAAAGACGTTTGCCGGTTTATGATATTGCTGTGGCCATAACCAAGTAAGTTTTTTGTAAAAATCGAGTTATTATTACAATTTTATAGGAGGAGCCTTAAATGAATTCTATGATTTTCAATTTTTTTCTAATCTCTATTTTTTCTACTTTGTTTTATTTTATATATATTTTGAATGAGTCTACACTATTGTATTTTCTTGTCAAAATTGAAATTTCTATATCTTTCTTTTCATCTTCAAATCAATCCGAAAAAAAAACAAATCTAAATCCGATCTTAGGTATGATATGTGTCGCAGACGTAAAGGAGGTCGTTGTACAAAAGGCACAGCCGGTAAAGATATTTCAAAATTATTTCTTAATTATTATTTTTAGTTTAGTTTGGAATTATTTTTTTGTAGTTGTTGTTTTGGCACATTTTAGAAACATATGACATATTAACCTTATTAAAAAATATAGTTTTAAACAAGATTTTGGGTATTTTTCAATATCTTCAGCTATGCTACAATAAAAACGAGACATGCTACTTAACCTAAAACTGAAGATATTGAAAACTTTTGGTAATATTTTTCCTCAACATTAGTTTAGAAATATTTTCTTTTATATTTTTTTAATTATATAAACCTACTAAACATTTAGTATAGAAGTGCTTTTTAATATTAGGATTTAGAGAACAAAGAAAATTGCCCGTAGCATTTATACAATTCTGGGTATAATGTTTCGATATCTACGTCAGTATAATTTAAAAGTCAAAAATTACCTAAAATTGGCATTTTTATATCCTTCAAAATATTTCTAAATTAAATAATAATCATCTCTGGCTACTGCAACCCCTATGAGTAGTCACTTTCCCGAAAGGGAACACTGGAATATCGATAATATTAATCTCAAAAAGCTACCAGAGCTCAGTGGAACCGATATCGGGTATAAGGGGAATTAGCATTATACTTGCAACAGTTATTATAAATATCGATTGCTACTATAGCCTCTTGGATCAACCCTTTGAGTTAATCTGTAGTTTACCTCATTCTCCTGTTTATTTCTTGTAGTAGATTTTTTTAAGAACTTTTTATTTTAATTACTTATCGTAAGATACCCTCAGACTTCCTAATTTCATCTATTAGAATAAATGTTCCTTTTCGATCCAGTATATATTGGCAACTATTATAGGTAGATTTTCATCGCAAAAATTATTCTATGGGAGATTCACATAGCAAAAAATGTGTATTAATTTGAATTCGGTGTATTCGAATGTAGATTTTTGCATGAATGTAGAACGTACGACATACGTTTTCCTAGTCCCTTTCTCGGACTTATTTAATCAGAAACTATTCAATGAATGAAAGATTACTAATTTAAATTATTATTCATTATACCCAGAATTGTGTAGATACATTTTAGAAATTATTACAATTACTTTCTAATTTTGGAAAGGTTTATTTTTAATTAAATCTACTTTTAACTACTAACTACTTATTTTTAAATATATAAAAGAAAACTACGAAACCCCTACACATATCCAGGAAATATTTTTGCTACTTACATCTTCGTATTGTCTTCTCTTCTTTTTCACATGTTGTTTCTTTTTGCTCCTCGCTCGCCTTCCTTGATTGTGATTTTTTTCTTTTTATTTCATTTTACTTTTAAACACTATATATATTTTTATAAAAAAAAACACTTACCGTATTTTATTATTTAATAACAAAATCAAATTAGACTTGATATGTGCAGACGTGAAGCTGGTGCTCGTGATTGTAATCGTGGTACAGCAGGTAATATACAGATAACTGAAAAGAAAAAATATGAAAATGTGAAATAATTCAATGAATAAATATTTAGCACGTTCTGTTGTAAAAAAAGTTCTCTCTTCTGTCGAATACTGTTCTCTTCTCTCACTTGTAAAATAAAATGTCAATGATCTCCTCTAAAAAAAATTGTCTTGTGTAAATATATTTCGAATAAATATTTCCTTTGATCTTGAATTATTTTTAATTGTTCTCTTTGTGTTTTTTTTTTTTTTCTTTATTATGTGTGAAATTAAATTCTGAGTCTTCTACGCCTTATATTTTTATTGTTCTTCCTAACAATTTGCTCAAGAATATTAGTTTTCTTCTCATTGTATTCCTAACAATTTCTCAATCTTCGATTTCTTCTCTGTTTTTCTCCCTAACAAATTTCCAAGGAATTCGTTTCTTCTCTTCTTCCTAAAATTTTTAAAGAATATTCGTCTTGAATTTTTTCGTTTTCTGATTTATAATTCTGGTTCAATTTTTATTTGTGTCAATACTATTTTTATATGTGTCTAATTATGTGTGCTCCACTACTACTCCGATCTTGACATAACCCTGTGTACGTCTATAGACCATTTTTACTATATTAATTTCTTAGACCAATACCATTAATAAGGTAAAAAAAAATATTGATTTGTGGTGTCAATGATAAGATTGTTATCTTTTAAAATCGTGAAATATATATCAATTTGTTCATTTAGAATCGTTAGTTTATTTTTGGAAGTCTCTTATCATCTACTTTAGGATTAGGATTATACAAGGATGCAGAACTTTCATTTCTTCACAACGAACCAAAATCAATCTACACGAACGCGGAAGTAAAGCAAAGATTTCCATTGTAACCCGCATTGAATTAAATTCTCCGTGAAAAGGAACTACATGGACTTTGTCATGACATCGAATAGACTTAGATTACCTTCTCGCACACAAGATATGCGATACAAATTAGAAGTCTAGTAGATAAAGATGAACTTGAAATACATATCAAGAAAACCAAGCCCCTAGATATCTATGGATCATATTAGAATTATTTTGAACTAGTTCCAGAACGAATTGTATTAGGTCCTGTTTTTTGGTTCATTTAGTTCCTTTTGCCTAGTTTTTCTACCTCTCTAATGTATGCGTTTAGTTATTTATGAAATTAAAGAGAAAATTCCGACTTATCTAATGGTGTTTTTCCTAAAAAATATTTTCCGTATTAGTTTTTTATGAAATTGAAGAGAAAATTGTTACCTATATAAAGGTTTTTATCCGGTGGACGCCCCTCTAACGGACAATAACTTTTGAATTTTTAAGAAATATGGATACAAGGAAATAATATTTCATTCTCCCCTTATAATTCAAGCATTTATTGTCCAGCATACGGTAATAGTTTATCATGTGCTGTCCTAGTTTGCACGTTCTTTTCAGTGATTCTTTCAATTAAACTAGTTCATTCGTGAACTAAACAACTCTACTGTTTAATTTTTTACACGTCCATGGCACATTGAATAGGTAGTCCATTTAGAGCAGCTGATGTCTTGATTAACTGTCAAAGTTCGCAATTTCTACTTGAATTCGATGTGCAATGTTGCCAAACATGTGAAATATTATAAGGAAAAATTTGACAGACTAAATATTAGGTTGGGAAAAAGTAATCTTGGGCCAAATATGCACCGTTTGTTGTATGATTTGTTGCTATTTTAAAGGTGCTCTCTATTTGCAAAAAAAAAAAACTCTAGTAGTCGATTTTCACAATCCTCTCTAAATACCAATTTTTTATGATTAAAGAAATTTTGCAATGCAAGAAGAAAATCGCTCGTTGACAAGTCCGGTCTGTATGGCGGATGCATTAAAACATCCCAACCGAACTCCCGAAGTTTCTGGCCAATCACTGTAGATGTGTGTGGCTTAGCGTTGTCCTAGGGGAACACGACACCTCTCCTGTTGGCCAATTCTGTCCGCTTCTGGTCAATTGAATTTAGCGTTTGGAAGCAACTCATAGTAAATAATTCCCTTCCAGTCCCACCAAATGCATTGCAGAACCTTTCAGGCCGTTAGTCCTGGTTTGGCCACCGTTTCTATTTCATTCCTATCTCTTCGCAGATGGAAATTCGATCCATCCTTTTTTCTGTTAATTGGTGTGGCACCCAAACATCGAGCTTCTTTTTGAATCCAGCTTTGTTTAAATGGTTTAAAACTTTTTAGCTCCTAAGCGATGTTACGACTGCTAACAAGCCGATCAACTTCGATCGTTTCTCCAATTTTATCGACATTTTCGATTCTCAACCTAATATTAAATTAATTAATATTAAACAATGTTGTAAATATTCTACAAATTTAAATTAAATAATAAAATCACGTTTTTCTACATGCAAAGCGTTCCCCTACTAAAAAACATATTAAATGTTTCAGTCAAATTTAAGAGATTGAAAAATGTAAAATATATTGAAAAACACAAGTTATATGGTGTATTAAATTTAGAAGAATAATATTGTTAAATATCACACCCTAAAAGTATGCATTTGTATTATTGTAATAAGCACTATGGTAATCAGCTGATATTCAATATTACACAAAGCCTAAAACTATGCATCAGTATTGCTCTAGTTACGTATTTTTTAATTTATTGGATTTAAAAGCGTGGATATTGCTTTTTAACATATTTCGGTTGTATGGTATTCGGAAACATCTGTACTAACATAATTAATAATAATAAAAACATGTTACTTATATTAAAAACTAATGGTGGATGGGTTTAAAATATTTTCTTTATATCATTTAAGAGCTTACATATCAGAAATTCTAGCCACGCTTTTATAAAACTGTTGCAATATAGTTGGATCTCAAATATTCAGACAGATATTTTGAGATCAAAGTAGATCAACAAGTTATTAATATCTATAAAAAAAAAATTCTTGCTATTTTTCACCAATTAAAATCCTAAAAAGCTATTAACTTCAGTCCCATGTATTTGAGGTCCAATTGTATGCCAGTAACTAGTTGTACTCTATTAAAATATTTTTTTGTGGAACTCATAATAATGTCATAATTTATTTTTCCAATTTTTCCCACTCGTTTATTTCAATATCAAGGTTTCGCCTATGTTGGAGGTGCCTGTGTGGTCAATAGACGCCTGGAAAAAGTCAACAGTGTTGCTATCATTGAAGATACCGGTGGTTTCAGTGGCATCATTGTTGCCGCTCATGAAGTGGGCCATTTGTAAGTAAAAAAATATAAAAATTAAAAAACAATAATACAGTTATCAAATGAGCGGGGCACAAAAAAAAACACACCCATTATCATTATGTCGCTCAAGCTTTACGCATTCCAGTTATTTAGCAAATTGGTTGAATTGTTGTTTTTGCCATTTACAATGTAATACAAAGCGGGTTATTACAAATGTTGGGTGGATGTGATAATAAAGCCGGCCTGAAGAAAAAAAAATTGAAAAAAATATCACAGGCAACTTTAATTGAGCAATGAAATTTCCGTTACAAAAAAAATTGTCACTGTTTTTAGTTGTAATCAAGTTTAGCTTGTTTTTGTTGGAAAATTGAAATGAAGTAATGGAATTTATGCATATCCGCTAAATTATTTATAAAAAATCTACAAACAAAAAAATGTACAGACAACAAAATACCTATCATGCTTTTAACGTGCAGAGTTTAGTGTTGTTGGTGTAAGTTTTTAATTTAATTGTTGTTATTGTTATTTGCAGACTTGGTGCTGTTCATGATGGTTCACCACCACCCAGCTATTTGGGAGGACCTGGCGCCCAACGTTGTCGATGGGAAGATGGCTTCATTATGTCCGATTTGCGACACACCGAAAGAGGCTTCCGTTGGTCGGCATGTTCGGTGCAGAGTTTTCAACATTTCTTGAAGTAAGTCCACGATACCGACATTTTGTATATAAAAATATAGAAAATTTTTCGACGAAAAAATTTCTATAAAAAATTTAGAAAATTTTCGACGAAATTTTTTCTATATAAAAATTAAGACAAATTTTCAACGACATTTTTTCTATATAAAAATATAGACAAATTTTCGACGAAATTTTTTCTATATGAAAATATAGACAAATTTTCGACGAAATGTTTTCTTTATGAAAATATAGAAACATTTTCGTGGAATTTTTTCTATATAAAAACATAGAAAAATTTTTGACGAAATTTTTTCTATATAAAAGTATAGAAACTTTTTCGACGAATTTTTTCTATATGAAAATATAGAAAATTTTCGACGAAATTTTTTCTTTTTTAAAATAATAGAAAAATTTTGGACGAAATTTTTTCTATATGAAATTATAGAAAAATTTTCGACGAAATTTTTCCTATATGAAAATATAGACAAATTTTCGACGAAATCTCTTCTATATAAAAATATATAAAACTTTTCGACGAATTTTTTTCTATATGAAAATATCGAAAAATTTACGACAAAAATTTTTCTATATAAAAATCTAGAAAAATTTCGACGAAATTTTTTTTTTATTTTTTATAGAAAAAATTTCGTTGAAAATTTTTGTATATTTTTTTAAAGAAATTTTTTCGTCGAAAATTTTTCTATTTTTTATAGAAAAATATAGACTTTTTTACGACGAACATTTTTCCATTTTTTTTTTTCTATATAAAATTTCAAATTTTTTTCTAATTATATTTAAATAAAATTATATTTAAATAAATAATGTTTCTATATAAATATGTAGAAATATTTCGACTATTTTTTTATATTTTTTATAGAAAAAAATTCTTCTATATTTTTTTATAGAAAAAATTTCGTTGAAAATTTTTTTATTTTTTTTTATAGAAATTTTTTCGTCGAAAATTTTTCTATTTTTATAGAAAAATATAGACTTTTTTCGACGAACATTTTTCCATTTTTTTATATATAAAATTTCGATTTTTTTAAATTATATTTAAATGAAATATTTCCCCTTTTAGTGGTGCCACTGCCACCTGCCTTTACAATGTTCCCCACGAGGATAATGCCTTGGGTCGTTCACTGCCAGGCACCCTGCTCTCGCTGGATGCCCAATGTCGAAGAGATCGTGGCACTTATGCCTGTTTTAAGGATGAACGTGTCTGTGCCCAGCTGTTCTGTTTCGACGCCCAAACTGGTTATTGTGTAGCCTATAGACCGGCTGCCGAGGGTTCAACGTGTGGTAATAATATGGTATGTAGCCGAACTTTTTTTAAAAAAAGAATCATGGTAAAGAATTTGGTATTTTTTCCAGCATTGTTTGGATGGCCGTTGCACTTCGCTGCCAGTGGCCTCAAATCTCATAACAAATTATGGAGGTCAAAGAGGATATAAGTAAGTTCCTTGAAGTTCTTTCTTTTTTATATTTGTTATTCAGGTTATAGCCCAGGTAGTTTGTAGAGTGTTCCAAAAAAATAATTGGCGTTAGATAAAAACTAGCACTTCTTCATAAAGGATAAAAATGCTGCAAATTAATATTATTGTGGAATTTTCTTTAAAAAAAAACCAAATTAATATTTAATCAATTTTTATTTATTGACACAAAATTCTTATTCTTCTTTTCTTATTAACCGAACAAATCAAAAAAAAAAATCTTCCAACAAAAATCTACACTTTCTTTTGTCTGTCCTGTCTATCTACATAACTATTTATATTGAAAATACAACAAAAACAACATCTACAATCTACACAATAAATCTCCACACCAAAACAACACTGTCCACCTGTACAACACAACAAATTCACCACACTATGTCACTAAATTTCACCACGATAAAAAAAAAACAGATCGAATGAGGCTCTTGGTGATGATAATGATAGCAAAGACTCTTCCCAAAGTAATGACTCTGAAACCGATGAAGAAGACATAGAGGAAGATGATGATGAAGAGGAAGAAGAAGAAGAAGAAAACAACGATGAAGAAGAAGTCAATGATGATGAGGAGGAAGAAGAAAATAATACGAATAGTGATGAAGGAGAACCAGAAGATTTACAAGAAATAGAAAGAAAAAATCATCATCAAGAGAATGAGGAGGAAGATGAGGGGGAGGAGGAGCAAAGTGAAGAAATTTCCAGCGATCTGGAAAATCTCTCTTCTTCTCCACAGACTCCACGAGCTTTTGGAGAAAATGATGATGAAGAGTATTTAACAGATGATGAAGAGAAACCTCTGCAAAAAATTAATGTTGATGAACATAATTATATTGACAAGCCAAATGATAATCGTTATGAAGAGACAATGTTAAAGAGCAAAGATCGGGAGCATACAAATAAAGAGCGTACATCAACCACACCGATCTTCAATTTAAATACCTATCAATATTTATCACAATTGTGGCAAAATTTACAAATATTTACAACAACCTCAACACCACCAAGAAACAAACCAACAACAACCCCTACCACCACCACGACCAAAAAACCAATAACAGTATTACAACAACAAAAACACGATGATGATTATGATGATTTTAAATCCTTGATACGTAGTAGTAGTATAAGCCTCAAAGGAATTAGTGATACTAGGCGGAATAATGTGCCAATAACACACCAACAACAAAAACATTACACTTCTGACATCATTACAACAACAACAACACCACGTAATATACGTACAACACCACACATGAACACTAGAATCACCACGACCACAACAACACCCCGAACAACACCACCACCTACCTCAAATTTTATCAAAACTTTACGCAAACAATTTCAATACTATGTGAAGCTTTTACAAACCAACAATCACAACAACAATAATAGTAATAGACGTAGTAGCATTAGTAGTAGATCTACAACAAAACCTAAAACTACAACAACAACAACAAAAACATCAATACCTTTGAATTCAATCAATTACAATAGCCATACAATTTTGCCTACTTCTAAAATTTATAGTAACAACAGTGTTAATGGTGCGGCAACGAACAGCAAACAGGGCAACAACAACGAGAATGATGAGGATGATGATAATGATGATGATGATGACGACAATGAGGATGATGATGAGGATTCTGATAGTGGTCGTGATAATGATGAAAGTAATGAGACAATTGAAAAACAAAAACGTAAGTTAAATATACCCATTAGCACCACCATGCAACAACAACAACAATTGCAAGCATCACCCCCCACCCCAAGCACTTACTATAAAACACCAACATCGGCCTCCGGTATAGATACGCCGCTATCACAATCTCATGCCGCAGCAGCACCACATTTTGGTATACGTTCGGTGGTGTCAAATCCCCCCAGCTTACTTGAGACCTATATTAAAAAACTACAGGCCTTAACTGACAACAACAACGATGATGATGTTGATGTGGACGAAATAACAGAAGCCACCTTGACCAGGACCACCACACATGATGTGCAAACCAAGACATTGGATAAAACCGAAAGAAGTATTTATACCACGGCAGCCGGAGGAGCAGATTTTTTAAAACGTACGCCCAGTAGCAGCAGTAGTAGTAGTAGCATTAGTAGTAATAACAACAATCATAATAAAAATCCATATACTAAAACAAGTAAGACGACCACAACTTCCTCACGGGGCAATGGTTATAAATTCATTTCACAACAACATCAATCATTGAAAATTATACCCGAAACAGAGAGGCAAACATCGTCATCACCAGCCTCAGCTGGGTATGTAACAAATTATATTGGTGATAATACCAATCGTTTGGCCTCGATAGTACAACAACATCATCATCATCCGCAGCAACAAAACCAACAACAAACACAATCATTCTATCAGCAACAACAACAAAAAACCTATAGTAAATTAATGCATCAACAACAACAAAAATCGGCAGCAGCAACATCATCATCAACAGGCTCTAATAATAAAAAATCACCATCACAACAGCAACACCCACAATACTCAAGTACCACTACCACAAATCCAACAACATCAACATCTCTAACAGCAACAACGAGAAGGCCCAAAATTAAAACACAAAAACTAATACGCCGTTTAAGAACACAGAAAAAATGAACGAACGAAAGAGGTCCTTTGAAAAAAGAATATCCAAACAAATCAATTGTACACTCATCTCTAAAAAAAAAACACAGACACACAAATGCAAACACTTAATTGCATTTATGTACATTACAGAAAAAAACGAAAAATCAAAAATTCAAATCCGTTTTGTAAGCGGTAAGCAAAAACAAATATTACTTTTTTTTTTGTTATAAATATTTTCCCCATTTTTTAAATCATAGTGCAAGCTAAAACATTATTTAGAAAACGTTAGTTATTCTCCTCTACATTTCCCCTTCTATATCGTTTGTAGAACTATTATTCATTACTTCATTCATTTTAATATATTTCAATCATTTTTTTAATTAGATTTTAGTTTAAAAAAACTTCCTAGCTTCGAAATAACATCATTGGTTATTAGCCACAAAATGTATTTAGTTGAAAAATCTAAAACAAATATTTATAAACAATGTTTAGACTTTCAAAAATGCATGTAATTTCCATAGAATCTAAGTAGTTGATTGTGTAACATTCACAATTTCCCAATATCCTTAGTTAGTTTCCCTTTATGAAACCGGCAAACCCTCCACTAAATGAGAATTATGAACAAAAAAGTAAACCAAATTTATGAAATATGTACGTTTCCATATAAAAAAATTGGGAAATCAGATTAGTTGTATCCACTCCAGGATGTTTGTGTACTTTCCCCTTTGTTCATAATTAGTATCCCTTAATGAATGGTATAAATCCCCAAATGAATTGGGAAGTATAAACACACAAGTCTAAACCCCTCTAGAAAATGAGAATTATGAACAAAAATTTAGGTTGAAGTAATGCCCCATTTAAAAATCAGATACTTTTTATTAATCTTAAGAGTATTAACCGTTGCCCAAGGCCCAATTAACAGATCTATTAGAAACTTCAACAGACTTGTGATTGAATCACACTCATATCGTCAAGAGTTTTGCTTATGTTTTCATATGATTAATTCAAAATATAAAGCATTTTTGCGTTATAAATTACATCAGCAAGACTTACTGCTTGGATATATATATATATAATATATCCTACATGGACCAATATGGACCCATTTCCTTGGTTGTTACTGTGGAAATATGTTTTACCTTTGTTTTCATTGCAAAGCAATCATTCACAATAACGATAAGAACCAATTAGAGTAAAACCAAAAATTAAAGCATACTTCTAGGCGTCCAAAAGAACAAATGTTCATAAATACCATTTGAGGTTATTAGAATGTTAATTTTCAATGTAAAATAATAATAAAATAAATTCATTTTATTCACTTATATATTTGGATATATAAAATACAGCTAAGAGAGCGAATATAAATAACAAAATAGTAATTAATAATAGTTGTGTCTGGTTACATTTCCAGTAACATTTACTCAGTAAGTTCTAGTTCAGAGAGTAAGCCGTTTTGACTCTCTTTTGCGATAATACTGAGAAAAGTAAACAGACAACATTTAGTAAGATTCAGCAAATAAACAGCTGATTCAAGAAAACATTTTGATTTGCGCCAAAATAAAGAAACGAACAAAGGACGAACCCAATTATTTGTGTTGCATTTAATATTAAAAATAAAAAGAACAATAATAGAAAAATTGATTTGGTATGTCCCCCGGGAACATTTAAGCTTCCTGCATCAATACGATGCCCTCTTTCTGGAACTTGCCTAAAAATATAAAGAATTCGTTTCTAATTTAATGAAACTTTGCATTACTTACGAATTTTCGTCCATTTTCTGAAATTTGTATACAACTTAACTTGAAATTGAACTTTGCAAATTAAAAAAGCGTTTAGAATATTTTTTATGTTTGGCCATAAAACAGCTGATCCAAAAATGATTGAGTTTGCAAAATCTTACTCCATAAAATTCCTTCAGTAAGCTCCAGTAAGTTTGTTGTTGTTGAACTGTCAAACTTGCTCTCTCGCTTGACACTCTTTTACTGGATTCTTGGGTAAACAGAAAACATTTGGTAAAAATTGTTACCAAATATCGAGTAAACAGACAGAGCTTATATCGAAAATGTGGTTGAGCTGATATGTGGTAAATTTTTACAAACCATAGCCAATAATTTGGAAACAGTAATCTTGGAGTAAATCCCACGAAGACGAATGAGTACTTTTTCACAAAAAAGAGTACAATTCCCACTTTCTCTTTAACACTCTCTTGGAAAACCAAATGCCATGGTACAAACTTTGACGACAGATTGGGACAGAAAAGGATCCAGACTAATTTGCATCAGTCTTCACTACCTCGTTTTCCATTTGAATTGCCGGGTTGTCATATTTTTTGGGGGTACCTTGTAGAAGGTACAACTGCAGGTGCCAAGGCATCCACACCTAGAGCAGTCGTATCACAATCACTTGATCTCAACGACACGTGGCTTGTGATCTCAGCAACGATTGCCGCCGGTACTGGGTTGTACAGGTCGCATTTATGATCCGACTGCGATGAAATTTTTCACAAGTCACTTAATTAGCCTAAGGACGAAACCTATTCATGGAATCACTCTAACAATACGTTGAAGGCTCCATTCAGTCCGATTGGGCCTGTTCAACAGTTGCAACTCCTGTACAGCTGAAATGACGTATCATGGTCAAATTAATATACTTTTTATTATTTTAACTTCATTTACTATATTTTATTAGGAACCGTAATCCTTGGGGAATTTATCATAAGGACATGAACTTTTTTCACTCTGGAGGTACATTCAGGCAGTTTCTTTATATGGATTTTAACAAAAACTCTATTAAAAATTGATTTCGTTTGCGAATTGAGTTAGGCACTATAATATATTCCCAAAAATTTTTAAAATATCAAATTAGATTTAGATATGAACCCAGTTTTAGAAACACACTTATACATTTCTTTAAATTAGATTTACTGTATCACAAAAAATCATCATACATAAAAGCTATCACAATAAATCAAAAACATTATCATATAATGCACACATGAAAAAATCAACATGAAAACAAAATTTCATTTAAGATATGCAAAAATCATCATCTTCTTCTCCTTCTAAACCAAAAAAAAAAAAAACCAAAACATTTACAACTATATCATGCTCTCCCAACACTTCTATTCTATCAACAACAACAACAAAATGGTGTTTCACTTCTGCTATCTTCTTCCTCCTTCACATCTCTATCACATATATAAAACTTCCACACATATCATGCACACACCCGCTATATATAGAAAATCAAATGGAAATGGAAAATAAAATATTGGAAATCCTGCAACAAAATATCTTCCACACTGCACACACACAAAAAACATATAGAATTAAAAACAACCTCAAGAAAATTTAAATGGCATGTCTCATTACAAAAAACTATTTCCATACCAACCTTTTTAAAAAGCAATCGTTCAAAATACTAAAAACCAAAACTAACTACAAAACAGTACGGATTATTAAAAGGATTTCATGCTAAAGGATATGCTTAATATACATATATTCAATTTAATTGGTACATTTTTATGGATGCTGGTTTAAAAAATTATGCAAATTTTTATAAGATAAAATGGAAAAAGGAGAATGGATTTTGGAATGGCAATGGATAAAAGCTACTGCTAAAAAAATAAATATGGTGGCTGAATAACAACTGGATATGCAGAATGGTTAAAATGAAAACGGCGGCGGCGGCAACACAAAGCATGTTTTGGCCAAGAGCGACACAAAGTGATTGATTCCACTGCATTTAAAAAACACAACTGCTTTCAAGCAATTCAAAATGTTTAACCTTTGCCTTTTTTGCATTATTTTTATTTGTACTTTAAATTACTTTTTAATTAATATTTGTTTTTTCTTCTCTTTATTTTTCTTTTTTCTCCATTTAGTGGTTAATTGGAAACTATACTCATTTTGATGTTGCTGCGACAACATTGTCCTTATCTCCCATAAGAAAAAAACCCCGTCCACACAACAATGCTCGTCGTCCTGAATGTAACCTGCTGCTGATCTGTCGATGCCTTAGAGGATTTAGACACCAACATTTCTGTAGTAAGAAATTTTAGTTAAAATAATCTCTCGTTCGTTTCACATCATTGGAATTTCATAAACACACATATACACAACCCGGATTCTATATAAAAAATACCCCACACATTGTGGTGTCATGGGCTGAAGTCCGAGGAAAAATGAATGCAGAATCAAATATCCAGCTCATATGCTGTCACATAATATCACCATTACTTCTCACGCCCACACACACATTCCCATATATGTATATGTATAATTTTTTGCTTAATTTGTAAAGAAGAATGAAAAAAAAACATTTTTTTGTTTGTTTGTATAAAGTAATTGCCATTAATTTTAAATAACTCCCATTTAAATATATAAATATATATGCTAATCTCTAAATTAATAATAACACCAATTCATAGAATATGAATTGAAATATATTGTTCAATTGTTGTTAAGTAAATATGTATGTAATAACAAAAATGGATTAGGTACAAACCTAACCTAAAATAATAAATAATATTAAGCTAAGATAAACCCACTCCCTCCATCCCCTCCCCACAATTTTTCCTCTCCATGGATGCTAGTGAAGATTTCAATAGAGGAAAGAAAAGCTTCAGACAAAAGCATAGATAAACTCAAAACAATAACAACACATTTGTATATTGTTCTTCATTATTATTTTTTGTTTAGTTAGCCTATATTTTATTATATTAATTTTTATATAAAAATAATATGTGTTTTTTATTATTATTGTTTTATATTTTTTGAGTGTTTTTTTTTGTGTATTGAAATTGTAAATTATAATTTAATTCTATACTTATATATAAATATTTCCAACCCCAAATTCGTTTATTTTTAAGTTATAATCTATGTATGTATTTTATTTTGTAAAGAAAAAGAAACATTTATTCTTATAAGAAGAACAAATTTGTATCTTGCATATAGCAGAAAAAACGGAAAACCTTTTTTTGGCACATGAAAAATTGTATTTTGTAAATTATTATTATATAAATAAAAATTATTTTGAAAAGAAAACTGTTATAAGTTTTATAATTTTGTATTTAAGTGGGATACCATCGGACAATTGAGTCTAGTTTGTCCTTTCGATTCTGTTTTATAGCCCTACCTTTTTCACCACAAAAGTAGAACACATGTATTTATATGAATGTTACCGAAATTTCAAATTTTCAAAGTTAAAAAAATTCAACTATAACAGAACGTATTTTTGTTTGTTGAAAAAAAGAAACAAAACATAAAGGAAATATGAATTTTTCAATAAGAATATGAAATAATTGGACACATTTTATAATTTTTCATGTTTATTTCTCAATTTTGTTTAGCTCGCTAAGAGATATGGACTGGACGTATTTGGGTAAAAGGGCCGTACAAAACATTTTGCCATAGTGGGGAAGTTGAATATTTTTATACGTCCCGTTGGATTTTAGGTAACGTTGTTATATTTTAAAGTGGGTTACAATAGGTTCGTTCGTTTACATTCCCATTAACATTTACTCAGTAAGAATTTCCAGAGAGTAAATATTAATTTTTCATTTTCAAGAAAGAAAATTGCCAAAAGTAAACGAACAACATCCAGTAAAAAAAATTATAGACACTACAGCACAATTTGGCAACATTTTTATTAAAAAAATGGGTAACAAGCGGAAAGCAAATTCTCAGTAACATATCTGTCAAATTTGCCCTCTTTTACTGGACTTTTGGGTTAACGAACAACATTTTGTAATAAATTGTGAAAATTATTGAGTAAACGAACCTAGTAACGTTCAGAACCTATTTTTCCTGGTTGCTTCAAGGAATTTTTTGGCAATGTTATTAAGAGGTTAGGAGAATATAAAAATAACTTATAAGGATAATTCATTTGTAACGAGGGGATGGCAAAATGGACGAATCCGATTCCTCTTCCATCAACGAGAAATCCCCTACTAGATTCACTGATTCCCGCACATTACAATATTTAGTCCATTGTCCACTCGTTCCCTAAACTTAATTCACAATTGTCCGATCTGCAGTTTAAGGAATATATTATACCACATATTGGCTATTATAAAAAATCAAATGATCCGTAAGATATACTACCAGACATTAGATGGTTTGTAGTTCGCACGAAGCTGATCTAACTCATTTTTACCACAGGGAAAGAAAGAGCTAGAACATAGGGATCAAAAAAGTCACTGTAGAATTGAGTCTTTTACCAACGACTGGGATGTCGTCAATGGGGTAAATTATTGAGGAAGAGTGTGAAACCATCGACCATCTAATCTGTAGATGCTCCGTTGCAAGATATATCATTGGTATGGCAGATACACAAAGCTAAAACGTCTAAAGGACTTGTGTTATCTCCCCTGTGGTCGTAAACTTTGTAAAGGAAACAACAAAATGAAGTCGGCTTGAATTCGTGCGCTGCGACTTTATTTATTGAAGGACTAATGAGAACATAAAGGTGTGTTACAAGTAAGGAGGTGAAATTCATAATTAACAAAAACTCAGATCGAGAATTGAGTACACCTAATTAAAATAAAGATAAAATCATCAGGAGTCATAATTCATTAGAGTTTAATTAAATTTAGAGTGAATATATAAAGACAAAAGTTAATTGAAATGAGCATATTGAAATAATAACAAAATTATAGTATTTTTTTTTTTAAATAGAATGACATCTGTCGTGTCATTCCAACCATGGTCACATTTTTGGATCACTTCAGGTGCTACAGGGAAAGCATCAACAGATTATGAAAAAAGGGGCCAAAAAAAGAAGACACGTGTATCGGCGTTTTGAAAATTTACGAAAGTTATTCCCCCTTTTCAAGAATTTTGACAATTTTCGAATTATGATTTCTTGAAATCCTTACATTTTAGGTATATAGTGTCTTCGGCAATATTACTGATAAAATATCGGGGAATATTTTGGTATACAAATTTAACCCTCAACCGACTCATTCAATCCCACTTCCAGAAATGATTGAAAGCTCATTTAAAACGGCAGCAGCAGGTCAGAATTGTCTACAAAATGTTCGCCATAACGTTTTACCTAAGTCTCAGGATAGACCAAAACTCGAAAATCAGCTTATTAGCCCCTCTATTATAATTTTTTGGAATTTCGCGATAATTATCAAAAAAATGAAACTTGACGCACATTGTTATTAAACATTTTCAAATGTAGAAGCTCGAAATAACACTATTTGTTTTATTTATCTGTTTGAATCAGCCAAATTAAAAATTTATTACAAAATAAAAGAACAGTACAACAAAAACAAATGTGGCTCAGTTTATCCATTTCAAATAACTCTTTACACACCTCTTGCTCTTTTAGTCTTCGAAAGAGTCATTTCTTCCAAAAGTTTCCTTTCCTATTTTTCCACATGATTTTCCTGCTACCTAGGCCTTCTATGCAGCCACAACCTATTCACTTCTTCTTCATTCTTTGCCTGCAACGACTGCAACCTTTTTTCAAGGCAACCATTGGCATCTTCCGTTGTTTTAAGAGCCACTTCCACCTTCCTATTTCTTGCAGGTAACTCCGCCACGTCAAGTCATTTTCCCTCCAATTCTTCATTATAGCCTTCGTATAGCACACAAGCTTCGATGGTCTAAGTTTTCGTCGCTCCTACTCCAATGACGATCGAAGCTTGCCAATTTGCTCTTGGGCTGACCAAAACTCTCCTCTCATTTTAGATTTCTTCTCTATTAGCTTCATCCACTGATCACGAATCGATCTGATCAAGAATTGGCATACTGTATTTTCATGATCAGAATAATTTGTTTAGCCATGTCTGTTGAAACGACACGACAGAGATCGCCATATTTTATAAGAGGCTTGTAATACACCTGCCCCATATAAAAGTCCCGCCAAATCACGGTATTTTGAAGTTTCAGCCGGATTTTTCTGCCGTAGTGGCTGAAATTTACCATTTCGGGTTCTTGTTGGGTTAAAACACTTCTACGCAGAACATTTTAAATATAGGTACATGTTTTGACATAAACCCTCATGTAAATATACCGCCCATTTAATATATTTTTTGGTTGTAGACGTATTTTCCCAATGACGTGGTTGCAATTTGCCAGTTGGGATTGGCCCGTATCTTTACAAACCCCAAATATAAAAGTCCCGCCACTTTCCGATATGCTGAAGATCTTAACCGAATTTTCCTACTTGAGTGTCTGTAATTTAACATTTCCTTTCCTGAGAGGATAAAAAACCTTGTGGCAAACAATTCACAATAGCCTCCAAATAAATATCTCGATCGATTTTAGGTATTTTTAATTAAATTAACGACTTTTTTATTGCTGTACTAAATATATACAATCGTTATTTATAAAACATTATTTCATATATATAATTTCATTTCATAAACATATATAATAAAAAAAAAATATTTTAAAAATTTTAATATTATTCAAATATAAATTCAATATAATCTCTTAGTGGCAACAAATGGGAATCAATATCCGATGTTTCATTAGTAGTTTCTTGCATTGTATACAGAAATGTATATAGAAGATTTTCCAACGAATAATTCCGCAATTTATGATTCGCCACATTATTATTTACTACCCCCTCCAGTTTGAGGTCCCGGAGCTTCATAGAAAAAAATAGCATAACACTTTTATGAAAATATCTATTCTGCAAACATTGTTTATATAATAACTTTCCCTTACGGGAATTCGAAACACAACTAAACATTGAATTCATAAAATTAACAAGCGATGCTTCATTGTTTTTCTCCGCAATTAAGTTACATAAAATTTCTTCAAGTATGGCACATTTCTCGTAAAATACACCATGTGACGCTTCACAAAAGATATAACCCAGTATATTAAAACCTATAGTGGAGATTATCCGCTTAAAGGCAATATTAAATTCTGAAGGCTGTAATAAAAATAAACGTGTTATTATGGCATAAAGTTTGCTATTATTTTCATTGATATTATTAATCGTTTGTAAATTAGGACTTAGTTTAGTGTGACTTGTTTTTTGGAAATTTCGCATTATGTTATCTATAATTACAGCCCTATGTATGGAATATTGTTCATTTTCAACACTACCCAGCACTGCTGGTAATAATATGTTATTAATTCTATAGTTTAACTTATACTCCATTGAATGTGGCGAATAATAATTAGAATTATTTAAGGATACATATTCATATAAATATAATACGGTTTTACAAAATTCCTCAATTTCCTCCGAAGTGGTTTTCGAATCAACCTGTGTTGATATATAATGAACGGCATTGTCACACAATTCCGAAAGTTCATCGCTGGAGAGCTTTGCATTAGAAGTAGTCACCATATTTGTTTATTATATACCGGAAGGGACCTACAATACAATATAATAATTAGTACTTAGTATCAGATATCACTTAGTTTAAAGAAAAATACTTGAAAATCCCTATGTCAAAACCAGGCCCTATATTACAAATATTCTCAAATAAGTTTTGTAAACAACAAGAACTCGTAATTTTGGGGGGAAATGCGGATTAAACTGTCAAAATGGCGACAAAGGGGTGGGTTCTATGTCAAAACATGGATCTATATTGATCACCTTTTTCATAAATGTATGATACCATCTCTCTTAGAACACGGATTCTATTATTACAGCCACTTCGGATGGAAAATGAGGTTAAATCCTTGGTGCCGTACCTTTATATGGAGTATAACATGATTATAGAAAATAGAAGAGTTTTTAGATGTAGCCGGTATTCGACCAGGGATTTAATATTACCCCTATGGACAGATGTCGACACCAGTCTAAATGATATGTACCTATATTTTCGTAGTTAATTAAAAAAATAGATAATACAATGGTCACTGGAATTATGGGGGTTCATATTTCAGAAAGTACATACTTTTTGAAAAACTCTTCTATTTATCGCGTAGGCAGAATTGGCATCTATCTATAGAAGTCTTTTACCTTAGTCGAAGGTCTGTCTGATCAAGAAAAAAAGTATAAAAGTATAAAAAAGTATAAAGTTTTTCAAAAAAATAGGGGTCCAAAATCCAAATTTTTTGGCAGTATCTCCAAAACGGTTTGAGATAACCCTATCATATCACCACTCATTGGAAAGGTATAACCTTTAAAATGATACCCATTTTGTATTAATCGGAACCGTAGAACCGGGTATAACCGGGTACCCGTACCCGAACTTTCGGGTCAAATAACCGGGTAACCGGGTACGTCCCCCAAGAAAAAAAAACATCCCATAATTAGGGTCAAAATACCTACCTCTGGAAAAATGTTCAAAAAATCGGGTCGTTTTTACTAAACTAGAGTCGTTCCCAATCAAACTCTGTGCTACCTATAGTCTAAAGGTTAACATATATTTTGAGTTTAACCATCATGGGTCTCCAATCCTCTATTCGAGATCAACCATAATAAATCATTACTTCAACATTTATTTCCACATATTTCCTTTGCAGTTCATATTTGTATTAAGCCACTGTATTCTTTTGACTGATTCTATAACCTCCAAATAAACCAATCAAAGGCTTAAATGCACTTTACGGACACCTCTCAGATCATTTTGAAATTTTTATCATAGGTAGCCCTTCTGATGCTGATTACAGCAATCAGAACTGGGGGAAATCAGTACTTCCAGAGATATGGGGTTCCAAAGTTCAAAAAAAACCCCCACTTTTTATTAAACATATTTAAGAATACCACTCCGAAACGTTTAGTTTTTTTACAACACATAGTCCTTTTGGAGCTGATTACAACCACATATTTTTTTTTTGGGGGAACTTCGTACTTCCGGAAATATGGAGTTCCAAAATTTAAAAAAAAGCTTATATTGTTATTTGTTTGATTTAAGGATTTTTTCCTTTAGGGACACTTGGATTGTTCTGGATCAGCAGAGGTATGCATAATTTACCTGATTACATAAATATGTTACTATATGGGAGGAAGTCCATACTTTTTTGAGAAATTGGGTTTGGAAAAAATAGGCTGGGGCCGGGGATTTAGTAATGAAACTTATTAAATATGCTTTTAATTTTATACAATCATGTATAACTTTTAAAAAAGAAATAGAAATTAAAAGAGAATTCCGCTCCCGTAGCTCAATTTTCCACCTGTCCATAGGAGATAGTCTTAAATCCCCGACCGAAGGCCGGCTGTTTAAAAAAAATTGAAATTAAAAGAGAATTCTGCTCGCGTGTCCAATTTTCCACCTGTCCATAGGAGAAAGTCTTAAATCCCCGGCCGAAGGCCGGCTATTTAGAAAAAATTGAAATTAAAAGAGAATTTTGCTCGCGTAGCCCAATTTTCCACCTGTCCATAGGAGAAAGTCTTAAATCCCCGGCCGAAGGCCGGCTATTCCGAAAAAATTGAAATTTAACTCAATTTGTTGTCGGATAATAAGTAAGGGTAAAAAATGTAGGTTTTTATTACATTTTGATACCCCATATTTCCGAAGTTCTCCCAAAAAAAAAAATTATGTGGTTGTAATCAGGTCCAAAAGGACTATGTGTTGTAAGAAATTTAAACGTTTCGGAGTGGTATTCTTAAATATATTCAATAAAAAGTGGGGATATTTTTTGAACTTTGGAACCCCATATCACGGGAAGTACTGATTTCCCCCCGAAAAAAATTATGTTGCTGTAATCAGCATCAGAAGGGCTACCTATGGTCTGAGAGGTGTCCGTAAAGTGCATTTGTTCCCAATCAAATTCTATACAATATGAAATTACTTTTGCTTTAATACTTACGAGTTCTTGAGGTTTCAATTTTTATGTTTCAACAATTTAATTAAATTTTATAAATAAATATAGCGCCACTGTAGAACAACTAAATTCCATTGTTTACCTAGTGATGGGCGATAACGCATATGTTATCGAGATTGTCATTAATCGATCGATATTTTGGGGATACTTAAATGTCAACGTATCATCTTTGACTAAATGGCAAATTCAATATTGCATTGGAATAGGGGTGCGCAGAGATAATACTCGGAGAATAAATGAGAAACGCCCATATGAAATGACTTGCTAAAAGAGAACACAGAGAACGAGCTTATTGATCCATGTAAACAAGAGCACCAGGTCCCATGCTTGCGCAGCATTACATTGGAACCAAGACCCTTAGATAATGACGTCTATCTATGAAAATAAGAGCCTGAAGTTATTAGATCCACTAGCCCACTCTGTTTGAAACGTTTGAATTATTACTAGCTATAATTGTTTTATACTGATTAAAGTCACATTAATTTTTTTGGGGATAACTTCATACTTCCGGTGGTATAGGGTTCCAAAATTTTGAAAGTAAGCCCTTTTGATTTTCATTTGCTCGTCTTATGGGGAGATTAAGGGTTGTGCTAAAATTTGAAATTAAAAAAAATCAGATCGCGGAGTCCAGTCTATAGGAGAATTTTTTAAGTAGACGACCGAAGACCGTCTACTTAGCCAACATTTTATATTGATAGAAAATTAATCTCGCGTAGGCCAATTTTCCATTTGTAGGTAGGAGAAACCCTTAAACTTCGGTCGAAGGCCTGCTAATTGCTACTTGAAATTAAAAGAACTTCAAAGTATGAAGTTTTCCACAAAAATAATATTTGGTTGTAATCAGAATGAAAAGGACTTTCAGAGAAAACCCTCAAACTCCGGCGGAAGCTACTTGGAAAAAATTGAAGTTAAAAGAAAAGAATGGGTGAAATTATTGAATTTAAGTTTGTTGTAGGTGCTCGTCGCAATTGTGAATTAGTGTATACGCAGACGAAAAAACAATTATACAAATTTAAAACTCAATACACGAATAAAAGAATATGTTTTAAGGACCAATAGAAACGTTTTATTTTTAAAAGAATATTTTTCCAAGGACCAATCATTATAATAATTTTCTAAGGATTATTCTAAGTATATTAGATCTTATGTGAAACGATTTAAATCAAATATAACACTCATCATTCGATATTCAATTCGGCAAGCTGTGCAAAATTTTGAGTCAATAATTTTAGCGTCTTCGACATGACATCGGTCGAATATATGTGGGACCTATATCTAAATCTGAACCGATTTAAAGCAAAACTGAGACAAGTCATTCTATTCAGTCGGACAAACGTTAAATGTTTGGTATTTACATGAAATCGGACCAAAATATGATTGGGACCTGTATCTAAATCAGAATCGAGTCTCATAAATTTCAATGTTCGACCTTCTTTCAATGATAAATTTGATATTTACTTTATTTAATAATAATAGAGAATTTTTGTTTATAATAAATTTATTTCATTTGTTTTGTACTATAAACATTCATATTATTTATATAAACCACTTCATATTTACATTTTACTTAGCAACTAAAAAAAAGAATACTTATATAAAAAATATTCTAAATTATTAAATTATATACACATATAAATAAAATTCCATACTATTGAAACCATTCCATTATTATTTGTTCGGATGCATTGTCAACGATTATCTGAAAAAAAGAAAGATAACTTAATTTTATACAGCAAAATAAAACACATAAGTAAAAATCACACATACATCTTCTTTTGGCATAATGGTTTGTGTGGCCGCTTCTGTTTCATCCAAATCTGCATCATGCTGATTCGATAATTCATTACTATTACCATCATCATCATCGCCATCTATAAAATCCATATTATTATTATTAGACGATGTTTTGGCATTTCCCGATACTGTTGTTTTATATTTTTTATTCGCGGGCGATGAGGAGGATTCAGAATCTGCCATCGATGAATCCATTTCTATGCCATGTTGTTCTTTCATATGTATACGTAGAGCAAACAATCGTGCATACGATGCACCACATAAATCACAACGATTACTAAGATTTTTATTGGCCTTGTTATTTTTACTGTGCGTTTTCATATGCACCTTAACCGCATACATTGAGGAAAACGGGCGATTACATTCGGTACAATTAAATGGTTTCTTGTGACTATTCCGATGACCACACAATTGGACAGAGGTACGAAAACCTTTGCCACACTCCTCACATTTATATTGGCGCTCAGTATCATGGGTTTTCAAATGATGTACATAAACCGATTGCTGTTTAAAACGTTTATTACAAATGGCACACACATATGGCCGGATATCGGTATGTGTTCGCAAATGCAGGGTAAGTGAATATGAGACACGAAACGACTTGCCGCATACTTCACAATTATAGGGTTTTTCGCCAGTATGCACCCGTTCATGTTTCACCTTTTCATACGGCCGTTGAAATTCTTTGCCACAATATTGACAGGCATGTTTTTTATTTGGATTTTGGGAGATTTCTCCGCTACCAACTATATCAGATGATGTTGGGGGGTTTGATGTTGCCGCCGTCACATGATTGTTGTTGTTGCTGTTATTGTTTTTGGTTTCATAATGCATTTGCATATGCATTTCATAGTCTCGTATATTATAAAATTGCTTATTGCATTTGCTACAATTATACTCCTCAATATTTTGATGCATATTTTTGTGGATACCCAAGAGGCGTTGATCAAAACTGTAATATAGATTGAGAAGTGATTTAATTTATATTTCTTGGATAAAAGAAATTTGCAGCTTACCTTTTATTACAAATTTCACAAAAGAATTGATTCAGTTCATTATATTCGGGTAGAGCTCCAGCTGGCAGGGCTTCTTGTATTGATTTCACGGAAGGATCATTGTGCATTTTCATGTGCAATCTATAATAGATGTAATTGAAAATTATAAAAAAAAATTGTAAAATGTATGAAGCCATATATGGCAGGCCTTTATAAAGAACCAAGGAGTTTATAAAGATCAAATGGTCTTTATAAAGACCAATTGATCTGTAAGGAGACCACGGGTCTTCATAAAGAGCCATTGGTCTGTATAGAGACCACGGGTCTTTATAAATACCAAAAGCTTTTATAAAGTCCTATTTTCCTTTATTTTCCTAACATCCATTTCAACATTTGAAATAAATTTTTTACTTACTTTAAATTTTTCGGTGTTCGAAAGATGGTATTGCAAATTTCACATTTAACCGGCTTTGGGGGAACAGCACCTTCTTTAACACGTTTATGTAGCCTCTGGTGGTTATACAAAGAACGCAAATTTGGATAACTTTTCTGGCATATATCACAGGTAAATAATTCTTGGCCATTTGTCTTTAAGGGAATTAAATCCTAGAAAGACAAACAAACAAATTTTTAGAAATGATAAAAAAATCAAACAAAAATAAATTTTCTTACATTTTGTTCACAATTGGTCATATGATTAATTAGCTCATCAAGTGATGAACACATTTTTTGACAATAACTGCAAATTAAATCATCTTTTTCTTCCTGTGGTAGATCCTCCTCCGCCGCAGGACTTTCTGCGTCTTCATTTACTTTAGTATTACCACAATCATGTTCTTCCGCGGATTTCAAATCGCTAAATAACTGATGGCATTCATAACAGAAATAATGTTCACTTTTTATATCCAGAACATTATTCGCATTGGTCTCATTTGACACAGGATCAGCATGCTTTTGAGGTTGTCTATTCAACTGTATTAAATCCGACATAGTCGAATCATCATTTTCATCATCATCAGCAGCAGCTGGCACAAAAACAACATCATTGGCATCTTTATTATCTTCACCATGCTCTACAATATTTTCAACTAATTCCCATAATTTATCCTGAGTTTGTTCTTCGTTTTGTAGAATTTCAGATTGTTGTTCAACGGCAACAAATTGTTCATGTTGCTCCACAATATCTTCTATAACATGATCATCATCAGCATCATCTTCTTCTGCGGGTTTTTCGTTTAACAATTCAATACCGGGATGTTGTTGTAGGAAATCATTAATATCCCTATATTCCGAACAACATTCATGACAGAAGTAGCATTCCTTTATAAGACCCTGTTCCGTGATGATTTCTTTCATTACTAAATTATGTTTAGACAAATCCTCATTGGTAATATCTTCTGAGGGTCCATAATCGGGTAGAATATGTTCAACATGTTGATCTCCACCCTCCTCTTCAGCAGCTACTGCTACTGCTGACCTTTCACATTCCACAAGTACATGGAAATCATTCAATTGTGAATACTGTTTATTTGCCTCTTCGACGCCAGCAAGGAATTCACCGCTCTCATTGATATTTGCCTCTGTTGTTTCATATCCCAAATTCTCATAGGTGGTATACCAACAATCCTCTGTCCCATTGTTTTCTATAAAATCAACCGTTTCATCTTCTATAAAAGGAATACAAATTTGTTATTAAACAAAAACTTGTTATTCATCAACCACGAGGTTAGTCGGGCATGCCATGTGGCATGCTATGCTACCTACCAGCCATTATTATTAATTTTGGTTTAATAAATATTTCGATATTAATGAAATATTTTAAATAAATAAAACGGTCTATTTAATTTCAAATTCAAACAAATTGTCTTGAAATTCTTATAGAAATCACTTTATTACGCCTAACTTCACGATGATTTTTTTATTTATTTTTTATTGGTGGAAACATATGATTTTGACAACTGCTGTAGCGAAGTCTCATTTTTCTGATATGAGTAATCGTACAGTTATGGGAACGTAAACGTATTCGTAATGTATTGCGGACGTACGCTGCAAACGGTTTCGATAGTACACACATTCTTTATCAGGAAACAAGTAGGAATTTAATCATTTCCGCACATCTTTCTGCTATAATCTCACTAGGTTAGGTTTGGGGGTGTGCAGTCACTTGTGTGGCTGCAGCACTCTGAAACTGTCAGGTCCATTGTGATCATCCACAAAAAGAAAAGTGATAAGGAGAGATCTATAGGGGAGAGAAGAATGGGGAAATAAAGAGAAATGAGAATTTTACAAGAAAATATAAGAAGGTAAGTTATAAATAGTATCGATGGCTATAGAGATCGGACAGAAGATATATTACGTGCCAAGGTTGTACCTTCCCAACCACTTTAGGTTTCTAATTATGCTGTAGATTAGAACAGGTTCAGTTGTTGAGAAGAAGCTAAGACTCGGTGGAAAATGAGCACCCAGTAGTCTGTGCCGCCTGTAAGCCAGGGCTGGGCAGTGATACAGAAGATGCTCAATTGTCTCCGTCTCCTCTTCGTCAACGCAGAGTCTACAGTAATCAGTTGCATCATGATCCCAGTTACTAGTAAAGGCCCTGATATTGCAATGACCAGTAATGATTCCTGTTATTACTCTTATTTCAGCGTTGCTCAGGTTCAACAATGAGTGTGTCCTTTTGGTAGACAGAGTCGGCCAAATGGATCTTGACACAATGCACCTAGGTTCGTTGTGCCAAAGTTCATAGGCTAGCATCAATTGCTAGATCTGTGGATTGAGATCCTCGTCTAACTAATTCGTTGCTCTTTCATTACCCAAGATGTCACGGTTTCCTGGTACCCAACACAGCCGATAGTTGTAAGTAAGTTCTTACAAAGCTGTTTTGCACTTGATGTAACAAGCTGGCCTCAGATTTTATATAAAAAGATTTGATGGCTTTAAGAGCCGCTTTACTATCCACGAAGATAGTCACTGGTTCAACGACCTCTGCATCCAGACTTTTTATCTATTCCAAATTGCAAATTGCAAAGATTTCAAAGATTACATGAAATATTGCTGGATATTGCTTGGAAAACACTACAGTAGCAATCCAGCTTGTAAGTTAACTCAAGGCCTAGCCTTTCACAGTAGACGTCAGCCCCTGTACATTCTTCCATCTTGGATCAGTATGTATAGAAAGCCAGACCGTCCAGAGGAGGGTTATTTCGGTTCCAGTCGTCTCTACTAGGAATAACGATCTACATCGATATATATAGTACTTTTTTTAATCTTGGGGACAAAAATCTCCATGTCAAACAGTATTAATATCGATATATGTTTTTTCGTAGTATTAAAAATAAAAAACAAAAAAAAGAGAATTCTGAAAAATTCAGTGTAGTGTCCATGGTACAATAATACAAGGTAGGACAGCTTGAGGTGAATAACAAAAAAACAACTATGCACGTGTGGCTTCTTCTGCCAAAAATAAAATAAATATACGCAACAAGTGTTTGTATTTATTTGACATTTTTTTAACACAAAACTAAAAACGCGAAAAATGAATGAAAGGTTATGATTTCTTCCCAAAAACCAGTAGGGAATACCATCAAATATTCGTTTCATCCATAACAAAGTAATTACTTCCAGACGAACATGTTAAACACATAATTTTCATTTCAATTAAACTTGAATATTTTTCAATATTTTGAATTTATTTGACATTGTATTCAAAACAATACACACACATACACAAAATATGTATTTTGATTTGATGGAACAAGCCACCTTGAGAAAAAATTGTAATCAGTTGGTAGCTGTGCCCTACCTTGTAATAATTATACCATGTTAGTGTCTAAAAACGTCAAATACCCAAAAATTAGAAATACTATGACAGAAGAAGCCAATACCTACATAGTTCCTTTTTTATAAACTTCAAGCTTTCCTGCCATGTATTATGGTACCATAGTTATATCTAAAAAATTGCCTATATAGAAAATGTTCTGCAAAGATATTTTCACTCTCCAAGAAACCACCATAATGAATTACAGCTACTTCGGTGAAAAATGCGGTTAAAACCTTTCAAAACCAAAAATGATGATTGGGAAATATTGGATTGGAAATTTCGTGCAAAGTCATTGTTCACCCAACAAGAACCCGGTACCAGAAATTACAACCCCTTTCACTGGGGAAATAATTTTTAAGGTACTGTCCTCGCGTTATATTTTGTAAAACCTCCTTTTTATTATTCTAAACATATTTGGGATGTTTTAAAGTCGCGACGACTATATTAAATACTCTCATTGTGTGGTTAACCGTAATGGTAACTATAAAAAGACCAAACTATGTTCAATGTAATGATTTTTCTAAAATAATAAAAAGCAAAATACTTTTTGTTGATAAACATTTTTTGGTTGGTTTAGATTTTGGCAGATATCTTCGAGACCAATAGATCTTTCGCAGTGATTCTTGCAGAAATACGATCTAAATATGTCCACAAACATATTACATCATTCATAATTCATTTTAAATCCTTAGAATGCTGGCTTTATGCGAATGTATTGGAATTTTGTTACATTTGTACTGACGCAAAATACTTATTACCCTCACTGTATATTCAAATTTAATTGAAAATTATGTTTTACAGCGTTCGGCTGAAAGTTATTACTTTTTTATGAATTAAACAAACATTTCATGGCATTTCATAATGGATTATGGAAAGAAATCTTAACCTTTCATTCATTTTTCTCGTTTTTCGTTATATATTGAAAAAATGTCACATAAACACAACAACCTGTTGTGTATATTTATTTTATATTTGACAAATTTAATTTTTTGAAAATTGATTTTTTACTACATGCAATAATACAAGTTGGAGAGTAAATTACTTATGTGTGGCTTATAGATTAAACAAACATTTCATTTTTTCACCAAAACTGCATACTGGATTATGGAAAAAATGCATAACCTTTCATGTTTGTTTTCCATAACAAAGTTTTTCGTTATATATTAAAAAATTTTCACATAAATTTGAATATATTATTTTATTTTATATTTGACATAATATTCAAAACATTACACACACAAAATTTGTTATTTGATTTGATGGAACAGGCCACCTTGAGAAAAAAATTGTAATCAGTTGGTAGCTGTGCCCTACCTTGTAATAATTATACCATGGTTGTACTATGCTAGGAACTCATATGTTTGGTTATTTATAGGGCGCTAGGACATTTCCTCCGAAACCCTCTCTTTAGACCCACTGAATGTGACTATTTCTCTAATTGCCCCACCAAGCCTTAAAATTCTTCATGTTTCAGTAACGATACTATATATCCCTACTTTGAGATGTGTTGCATTATCACACGGAACGTAACGTCAAATTACGTTCCACTAACTCTGTATTTACGATTACAGCAACAAAGAAAAACAAACCAATTGCCAAACAAACAAAACTCACCACAGCAATTAAATTTGTTTTTAAATATTGAAATAACTTCGTTTATGTAGAAAATTGTATAGAAATAAATTAAATAAAGCCCCTCATACGAGTGCAATAAGTTCGAGACACACAATCAAACATGTACCAACCCGAAACGGAGGATATGCTGCCGAGAATGGCACCAAAACCCAGTGGTTCATCAATAGGCGCCAATGAACCTTTAGTTCGTCCACAAGTACCAGAAGTTTCAATACTTTTTGGACAACAACAGGCGACCAATAATATGCAACAACACCAAACACAACCTCCAACTATGCAACAGCCACAACAACAGACTACATCATATGCAGCATGGAAAAAGCAAATGTTACCAAAAGTGACATTTCCCCCATCCCTGGCAATGGGTCCCGAAGTGGCAACAAGTCGTGCAGATGCTGTAAGCAGCAATAATAATCAAATGCAAGGAGGTTTGAATTCCGTTTATCCTCTGAGATCTCAGGTAAATCAAGTAATGCCAGCAACCTCCACCAATGGATATATGGGCAACGCCTACTCCTCGGCGCCAAACACAAATGAAAATTCAAATGTGTACATGATTAGTAATGGTATGGCTGGAACCAATCCTACAACGTATCGTAAGAGTATGGATAACTGTGGTGTATATCAACCAACAACTCAGCAACTCCAGTCTGCCTATAGAAGGTCAATGGATATGCCACAGATTCCACCAAACTACCACAGTCCCCGAGATGTTTTGACAATTTGTGCGGGTACACAAACGGATGCCATGGCTTCTTCCCCTCCCCCACTAGGTGTGCCCAGCAATATTGCCACAAAACAAGATGTTGACGATCTGAAACAAATGGTACAAGAACTTAGACACGAACAGCATTGCCTGGCCCAATTGATGGAAAAGTTTTTATGTTCACAATTCAATAGGACACCCAATACAGATTGTAAAGATATTGGAATACAGGTGAATACTGAAATAAAAGAAGGTTCTCCCATCACAAATGGTCATACTCCACTTCCGGCGGTGGCAACAAACAGAATTGTACAACAATTGAAACAAAGTCCAAATGTTTTACAAACCCCAAAGGGCAAGCCTATGGCACAATCGACTACATATCGTCCAAATTCACCACAATCAAATCGTCTACAAGAATATCAACAACCAGAGGCAGCTCCCGCGATTTCCATGCCCAAAACACAATCTACCACAAATTATCCCGAATGGAGCAATCCACAGTTGGCTGCTTTATTACCCAAACCATCGACCGACAAAAGTTTAATGATGAATGAGCTGGCCTTAAAATATTTACCCAACGAAAAACTTGCCGAACTTTTAAAAGATCTAAATATGGGTTGTCCTACACAAAAACCAATTCCAGAAGCTATAACTCCTGCAGCACCCCTTCGTAACATAGACAATTTTGAACGTGGACCATCAGATATATCAAATGCATCATATAAATATTTGAAAAAATATCGCCTACTACCCGAAGATCATATTGAAGATTGTGAAAATGAGAATCCCCGCGAAGCTGCTAATTGTACTCCAGCCATGAATGTACAACAACAGTTTGGCACGCCATCAAGGTCACCTATACAACAGAGACAGAATGCAGTGTATGCAACACCCAAAGCATGTTCACCGTATCAACAGCAGCATCAACTTGGTAGTGCTGGTAATCGCTTGCCGCAATCGCCATTGGCGAGAAATGATGGAACGCCAAGAAATAATCATATGCTTGACTTGGAAAATATAAAACATCAACCAAAATTTTTGTAAAATGTTATATGTAGCTAAATAAAGTGAGATAGATTTTAGGAAATATTTGTATTGATTTATTTATTAAATTTTTAAAGGCCTTGTATGCAAATAATGTTATTAAATTATTAAATGATCTTCAAGATATCTTTAGTACTACTTTTTATAACCTCCACCATGAGGCGGACATTTAAAATATCTAAATTTACATTAACAATTCGGATGAAAACGTGCCCAAAATTTCGAAATGTGGTAGATTATGGTAGATCTAATTCAAAGGGAAACATGCTCAAAATTCGGAAATTTGGGAGTTACCGTCATATGGGGGCTGTCCCATAAAATGGGCCAATATTGATCATTTTTGGTAGAAAGGGTAATACAGTATTCCAAACCCAAAATAATAAAATTACAGTCAATTTTGTTGAAAAAGTGTCTATACTCCTCAAAATACGAAATTCGGGAGGTATCGTTGTATGGGAGTTACCGCAAAAGGTGGACCAATCTGGATAACTTTTGACAGAAATATGTGTTACCCAATGAGAACTCAAAATAACGGTTGAAAAACATGCCAAAAATCCCTAAAATACCGAATATTTTGAATATAGGGGGTCTACCATATAACTTGGACCGATATATTTTCGTGTGTCAAACATCCTTTATCCCAAATATTGCATACTCTATCGTGAGTTCAACATGAATAATTCGAATTAGAAGTTTATTCTTATCAAGAATAAAAGTATTCTTTATGGAGTTCCGATGACTATTTCGAGGTTTTGCAAACGGAATGACATATTTAATATACACTGGTGGCGCGCATAAAATATTCAACTTATTTATTTTTATTAATAAAAATCCTTTTTACAACATTTTACGACAGTAATAAAAATGACAAACTAAATAGCAAGTATTAGCATATGGATATTCATATATTTTATGGGGTCTAAAACGACTATATAGAATAAAGAATCCTTACAGAATGGGCCAAAATAAAGACATTTTGCATTTAAAATATTTTTAGTTGGGCCCATGTACAAGAATACACAGTAGGACAACTTAAGTTGAATAACAAAAAACAACTCGGTAAGTAGTGGCTTTTAATATCAATTAAATATCTTAATTTATTTGACAAATGATCTGTTCTGACCATTTTCCGATATCTTAAAGGGAAAGTTCAGGAACAAAACAAATATGTATTTTGATTTTGATAGAACAGGGCACTTTGAGAAAAGAATTGTAATCAGAATGTAGCTATGCCCAACCTTGTAATAATGGATATGATATTCTAGCCCATTTCTTGTATATTTCTAAACCGAAAAATCGAAAACCTAATAATTGGTCGGCAAGAATCTACCAGTTTTTAATACAATAACAATATTTCCCTTAGGACATCGAAAAAAAATAGTACAAATTAGTTGATTCTTGCCGTACGGCAACATACCAAATCTTGCCCTCTTCAATATATTCTTCACATAGCTTCTTCACATTGCTACCAGCTTCTCGTTCTATAAATTTTCTTATAATTTATATTTTTACATACAATATTAATGCCAATTAATTTGACCGTTTAATTAAAACGCATTCCGTGTAAATGTAACCTTGATGTAGGGTACACACTATTAAACAAGATTGCATATTTGTTGCAGTAACTATTTTAAAGACAGGATTTTATTCCTACAAATCTACTAATGTTAGGTTAGGTTATTATTGTTCTTTTCTTTATTTTTTTAATAGTAAAAAAACTAATTTAGAACGGAAAATTAGTTAAAATGCCAATTCTTCAAAACAAATTAAACAGCAGCGGTAGAATAAAAAGTCTATAAAGTGATCATCATTTTGGTGTATGTCCTCTTAGAGCGCGCTTTGGCTGCTAAATCCACTCAATTTCAAACGTCAATTCCATAGCGTATGTGTCACGTTAATCCTGATCACAAATCCAGTGGATTATATTTGACGTATACAAGGGCGAACAATTTTTGAAAATTAAAATAGATGACAACAAGAAAAAAGTATATTTTTAATAACATTCAGTATGTATCATGGCATAATTATACAAGGTAGTCTCATGCGGTCATGTTTTTCCAATTTTTTCATAAATTTGCCTTTGACAGTATTTAGCTTTCAAAATTTAAATGAAAATATCTTCTTAAATTATTTAGAAGTAGACCCATGTCGATTATGTTTTTCAAGGATATATTGCAATCCATAGGTCACAAGTAATAGTAAATTATTATTCAAGGTAGGCTATACCTTGAATAATTGTATCATGGTTAAAAATACATATTTTGATTTGATGGAACAAGCCAACCTGAGAAGCATTTTAATTAGTTGGTAGCTAACCTTACCTAGTAATGATTATAAAATAGATTCTTGTATGATAAATACGGCATATGTGGTCATTTTTCTCTTTATAAAATAGTATATCTCTATTTCCAATTGATACAATACCTATTGGCAAAACAATTTAGATCCATGTTTAAGGTCATGATTTTTTTACTCCTATACAAGGTTCGCGTTTTTTAGGTAATTATTAGGTGTTTTCTCATGGAATAAACGAATTTTGGACATGCCGAACATACCCAAAGTTTACCTTTTTTTATTAAATTTAATCTGTTATTATTAAGAGAGAATATATTTATTAATAACAAACCGAACGTCCTTTAAGAATTATAAAATTGGAATTCTCAAACATTGTAAATTTCCTTTCTATCTTTCCTTAAAGTACATTTACATTTACGATTTTAAATCGACTCGATTAACGAAATCCAGAAATACACCCTAATTGTTTACACATACCCTTAATCATGATCTAAATGCCGATCAGCTGATGTTTGTTAGTATACATACAAAATTATTAATTTGCGCCAAAAATATTTGTTTGCAATTTGAAAAAGAATAGAAGAATTACCACAATGGAAATGGTTTTGCAATACTGTGATCGTTTGGAAAGTAAAAAAAACACCTAAAAACACAAAAATTCTATAATTAATTTGTATTTTCCTTTGATCTGTCATTTTTGTATTTGTCAGCCGTTAAATTTAAAAACAAACGGCATGTAAAAACAGTTGCAAATTTTGGTACATTGTGAGAGAGTTGTATTTTTTCGTACAAAACCCGCGTTGCATCTCTGTAGTATCATGATTTCGATCATGATTTAAAATAAATCCTGCTGCACGATGATTTAAATTTGTGTGGTAAATCATGGTAAATTTAGCCTGATTAAGAAAATAAACCCTGATTCAGCCTTTAATCATGATTAAATGTTATATGTAAATTCGCTTTTACATAAACTACTTTTTTTGTATTAACATTAATCAATTTAAGCAAATATTTTAGATTATAGTCAGTATATCCCGTTTTAGTCAAGAAATTTAAATTATATTTTATTAAAAGACTCATTAATTGTTTAAATATATTTTATTTTTAACCTCTTTATTTTATTAATGCCAATCCCCTTTAACGTAAGCAAATCCAATAGTCTACAGTGACCTTTATGAATGCCATTTTCATGGTCATCTGTCAACTTCATTTCGTAGACAACGGGACTTGTGTGAAAAATTCATGTGTCTATTCGTGCGTGGATAAAGTGTATTTCAAGTGATTTTTAAACCTGTTTTGTCGAAAATTTTTGTGTATTTATGTTTGTGTGATATAAAAATATAATTATTATCTCCTAAAAGATCAAAAAATTACATAAATTATAACAACAAAAAAGTACTACGCCATCAAGACCACAAAAGGAGAAGTTCCCATATCATCATCAAATACAACAGCAAACAGCTGTTTTGTTGCCTTTCACATTGAGATGCCACTCGTTATTGTTGGAAATGTATGTTGACCCCCTTTTTGTTCGACATCTGTTGGTAGTTGTGTGCGGATCATCAGCTGTTAATTTCACACATACACACATACCGCTTCTGACAAAATATAAACAAAGATAAGACAGAATTTTTGGCGCGTTTGCAACGACGTCGACAGAGGAATTTTTATACGTCAACCCAAACGTCAACGTCATGCGTTTGTCGTTGACTGAACTTTTGGAGGGAAAAACTCTTGTCAGTAGAAATTTGAGCGGGATAACCAGACGACGACGTGTGCTGTAGTCAGACCAACCATCATAACCAATTTATCCAACAAAGACTAAAGACCTACTGTGTGTGGTGGTAAAGAAAATAAAAAGAATTTAACCCTGGAAGAAAAAAATAAAAAAGCAAAGTGTTAATATAGAAATATATATAAATATAACACATGAGCACAATCCTGCAATACAAAAGAAGAAAACAAAGTGCATATAAGCAATAAACAAAAATAAAAGCAATAAGAAAAAAATATATAATTAAATTTATTTTTGTTTGACCAAGTACAAGAAGTTAAAAAAGGAAAAGAAATGGCTCAACCATCTATTGCAGCGTTTTTCAATACCAGAAAACGTGCTGTAGCCGAGGATATAACTACCATTAAAACTAGAGTAAGTTTATTATTTAACAATATTTACCAATAAAAAAGGATATCCTTTTTCAAAGGAAGTGAATTTATTTGTAAAATAAATGCGTCGTTTGTTAATGCATGCGAGAAAGAAATACACATGCATGCATGCTGGTAGTAGTGGCTGGCAAAACATCCCCTGCCTAGAGGCAGCGTGGTTGCAGAGACGCTTTATGATATCATTGAATACTTGTTTTGTTTAAAAGATTATTAACAAAAAATAGTTGACAAAAGTTATTTAAAGAAAAAAATAAGAGAATTTTATAATAATTTACAATTTTTTTCTCTTGTTTACAGCGTCTTCTGGAATCATCAGAACCAACAACACAAGACTCAAATGCCAACACAACAACTACACAACAGAATAGCCAACAAAATGTTACCCAACAGGCTCAACAGGACCAGCATGATGAAATTGCAGCTCTTAAGAAAATGGGTATGCGTACCCGTTCCGGACGCACTGTCAAACGCATTGGTGTCCAAGATCCCAGCCAGGTACCGGACAGCGGTGTATCACCCAAGAAAATGTCCAAAATTGAGGAGAATATTAAACAACAAAAATTAGTACAATTTATTAAAAAAGGCACACTGTCGCCACGTAAAAAACCCGCTGAAGTTGCTACACCAAGAACTAGACAAAAAGTTAATGAATCCACACCATCGGGTACAATTATTAATGCTTTCAATTCACAAAATAATGCCAAAAATGTTGAACGTGGCTTTAAGACACCAACCAAACAAATTATCAAAGGATCTACACCCCTCAAGCAGGGAGAAATTAAATCCATGGTCAAGAAGGAACTTACTTTTGAGGAAGTTAAAACCAAGGTGTCACGTAGTGCCAAACTGCAAGAGCTTAAGGCCTCTTTGGCACGTATACAGGAATTGGAAAAGACCCGCAAAGAGCAGGAGGAACGTAATCGTAAACTCAAGGAGAATATGCAATCACCTTCGAAGAAGACACCAGTTTTACAATTGAAAGAATTCGATAAAATTGAATTGGAAGTTTTGACAAGGTAAGAGGAACTAACTAAAATCAAACAAATTAAATATTTTTATTATTATTTTAGTGGTTTATTGAAGAGAAGATAGATAGTGATCAATTTTTTCAAGTTTTTCTTTTTGGGTGGTTAAACCAAAATTTCCACATTTTTCAATGCCTTCTTAAGTCACCACGTTTCCCGCCTAAATTTTTAACCAAAAAATAATATTAAATACACTTTGTTGTTAGACCACAGATAATGAGACAAACACACACACGGTGGCTTTCCACTGTTTTGCTTTATCACTCACACCAGCCCACAGCAAGAAATATTGTGTGTGTTGGTATGAGGTGGACAATTGAAAAATATGTATGTGTATCTATATAAAATTGAAAAAAAAAAAAACAAAAACACCAAAACAAAACTCGGTACTTAATTGAAAAGAAGAATACCACTAAAACCCTAAACTGGAGTACAAGATGATAAGTAACTTCAATTTTCATTCTTTGTTTTGGGGAAAAAATTAAAAATGTTTCTTTTTATAATTTATTTTAGTAAATTATCAAATTTCCTGAATAATTACCAAGCCATAGACATTTTTGATGAGTGATCAATCTTAGAAAAAAAATCGAAAATACTGAAAAGGGACAAAGAAATATAATAATAAAACGTTAACCTTAGGGAAGAAATATGTTATTTGGGACAAGATTTAGAGAGTTTTATGAATGAAGAACTCATTTTGTGTATAAAAAAGCTAATTTTTCTTTAGTGGAAATATCGGCGTTTCAATTTTATTTCGTAAACGAGAACCTGGCCCAAAGGGCCATGAGCGATTCCAAAAACTTCGTTACATTAATCTCCAAATAATTCATATCTCAAGAAAAAGATGAGCTAAATGCCGGTTTTCCTGAGCAATTATAATAATTAGCAACTTGGAAGAATATGAAATGAAATATACAACTAAAACTATGGGCTAGGAAATGACAACACCAGTCCAGTAATTGTTGTTTGCATAGTGAAACAAAAACTAAAATTTATTTTAAATCATTTTATATAACTATGAATTACTCTAATTTACAGTTTTCTATGATGAATTTTTTGAAATGAAACCATGAAAATAATGTTCAAAATGCCAAGAAAAATTGGTACATTAGAAGAGGGTCCAAAGTAAAATACAACTATTATATTATATCATTTTTTTATTCAAAAAATTAATTTATTTCAAATTATTTTGGATGTTTGTGAAATTTTCTTAGCTATAATTTTCAATAACATCCAATACAAATCCATAGAAAGAATGCTTTTTAAATAATCCCATTGTAAAAAAAAAAATTAAATGTGACAAATATCAAATTCCGACACATTTGTCAAGGCCTTAAATCAACATCAGCCAACTCAAGGTATATTCATAAGGTAACCGTATCAAGGCAGCTGATGGTAACATTATATGTCAAATAGAATTTTGTTATTTTAATTCGCCGGTAGATGAAAAGAGAATTTAAATTTAAAAACAAAAACAATGCGTTTGAATTTTTTTATTTTTATTGAAATACATGTTATGAAAGAATTAAAAAAACCAATGAGAAAAGAAATATAGTCGGACGGGCCGATAATATAAATCTGGAATATTGGACTTAAATTTTTTGCGGAGCAAAACTATGCGGTGATTATCTTATACTTCAGCCTCTAACAATACCATAGTTATGACCTTCATAGAAAACGAAATAAAGTTTTTTGGTCCATTTCAAAATATCATTGCCAAAACTATTGGTTTTGCCTTTGACCAGAACGGAAAGAACATCATTACTTAATGAAGTACAGATGGATGGGCACACAGATATGACTTGAATTTCAGTTGATACAACAGATAACATAAGAACAAACTCTACCCTTAAAGAAGATGAAATTTAAACAGACAAAAGATAGTGGAAACATAGTGGATAGTGGAACAAAATTCTACATCCAGTATATTTTGTCTGTATTTGTGAATCTTGGAGCAGTTACATTTTTGCTTGATTTCCAACACCGAAACACGTTTTGTATGCCTTTATAATGGTATTTCATTTGTTTCGAATTTCATTTGGAGTCCATGGAATGCATTAAAATTCAAGGATAAATAGTCAACGTCCGGTTCCGTTCCTAAGCTCTTCATTGAATTTAAGTCGCTGTTTGATGTTATTTTCCATTCACCAATCTGAATTTGCACAAACATTCACAATTTTAAAAATTAACAAAAAGTAAACAATCATGTTTAATATTTCAAAATGCTGAATTCTGATTGGTTGAATGAAATTCGCTTCAAATTTGATATGTTACGGCGAATCAATTATTATTCGCCTTGTTAACTATTTTGACATATCATGTTCCCAATTCGCCGATGCGGCTACCTTATGTATCTACCTTGAGCCAACTCTATTTACAATTAATAACATACAATTTATTAAAACAGCTGCCGATAGAAAGCAAAATTGATCACCCTATCAAAAAAATAACTAAATTCTTAATCACCCATCTTCAAAACGTCCTTAAAATTACATTTTCAAACAAAGAAAGTTATTTACACATTGCCTGCCACCCCTGACCTTTCCTGTTGTCATTTCCATGCAATTTCTCCTTTCGTAAGAAAGAAAATTTCCGTTACTTTTTTATTTCGACACATTCATTTTTCTTCTAGGTTATGACCTAAGAAAATTGTAACTAACCCCCCAGCTTCAGAGCGAGCAGCACGTACTTGCATATTTAGCTTCTCCTATTGTTGTTCACAATAAACAAACAATATTACTTAGTTTCCAGAGAGAGCAAGAGCCAACCGGCTGCTACCTGAAACCCAGAAAAAGGAAGATAAAGAAAATCCGTTTGAGAAGAACAAAAAAGAATGCCTTGTCATTTCAAAAATACACATTTCTATCCTTTGTTGTCGTTGTGGTTGTTGTTGTTATTTCTTCTTTTAAAACCAGACGGCGACGATCTTTAGGAATAACAATAATGTCTGTAGTTTATGCCTAACATGTTTTTGTAACGTACAAAAAACAACCCCCTTTTTCTGTGTGCCGAAGAAAAATAAGTAAAAGGCAAACATGATAGTTATAAGGTTTTAATTTGAAGAAAAAGGAAACAACACAAGAACCCAACCGCCGACAGACATTAGATATGAAATGTGTGTGTACGTACATGTGTTGGTTGTTTGGGTATACAAACAAAACCCTTGAAGTAGAAATTTCAATAACGATCGCCATAACCACCACCATCATTACCACCCATATATAAAAAAGGATCTTGTAACGTATATTTTTTAATTGCTTCAAAATGGCATCAAATAAAATATCCGGGAACTATGTGAAAACAATTCGAGAAAATGTTATTGGGAAAATGCAAAAATATAAACTGAAAACATGTGGTGGTCATTAATGTCACATGATGAGCAGAGCACCCTGAAATTAAAATAGCATTTTTCCCATCAACATATGGTACCCGAAAAATAACTTTGCATATGACATATGCTGCATTCCTTTACTTCAATTGTTGTCCTTGCACAACGAGAGCAACCAATCAACCCCCTCTTTTGAATTTATTAATGCATTCCTTTATCCTTTTTTTAAGTTTTTAAACACATGCCAGAGCTTAACTTTTTTTGTAAGGGGGTGATTTTTTTATATTTAATTTTAAGCGTTGTTTTTTAAGTTTTTTTTTTATTTCTCACAATTAATTCAAACTGTAGGTGAAGATGTAGAAGAATTAAATGCAAATCAACATCATTGCTCTTGGCGTGTTTTAAATGCAATTTAAGCATTTTTTCTTCAATACACTCGAAAAGAAGAAAATATGACCTCAATTGTTGTTGATAATGCTAAAAACTAAAGTTTGGGTTTAAAGCCAAATAGTTTTTGCTCAAACTCTTTATTTATTTTTTTATTTTCTTCTTGCTAATTTGTAGGCCAACTACATACAACTATGAAACGTTGATTTTTCAATATTACTATTACTCCCAGAATGTGTGTGTGAATGTCAACAGACACAATTAATTTATTGTGAAGTCATTAATAAATTCTGATTTTATTCGACTAGATTTTATTTAGGACGGGAATTCTGTTTTTATAATTAAGATAGGTCAAGGTAAATGTGATTTTATTGGGTAAAAAGAAAACATGAAAATTGTTTTTAATATTTCAATTTAGTAGGAAAGCGTAAAAGAAATGAAGAAAATTAAATAGCAGATGAAAAGGGGTTTTTGATCTTATAGCCTTTGAAGAAAATAAATAGTTTCTAAATCCACTGATAAACAAAAGTATAGCATTTTATATACAACAAATTGAAATGGGCCTAATGTGCCAAATGGTACCAAAAATCCCTGTATTTTATTCACTAAAAAATTCTGACTTCATTTTATGTTTTGGAATAATTACAAAACTTTTTTTAGGTTGAGATATTGAACAAAAATCCCTTTTTATCTTCTCTGAAAAATATTTTTTATTTTATTATTTTTAAAATTTTGTTTCTTAATTGTATTATTTTGTATTTGTTGTTTTTTTATTCATTATATACTCATCCAATTTTCCTTCTCTCTCTTCTCTTTTCCAGTCCCTCAAAAACCTTTAAAACACCCACAAAACTTCCTCCCCCAACACCCGACAAAAATGAACTTATGTCACCACGTCACACCGATGTTTCCAAACGTGTCCTCTTCAGTCCGGCCAAACATGGTTCACCCTCCAAGATGATTGTGCCACCGGCATATCAACGTTTTATGTCATTGGCTGAAACAAGCAAAGCTGGCCAATTACCCTTGCCCTACAAATATCGTCATCTTATTGAAGTATTCAAGGGTTTGGATTCCGTTTGTGCTATGTTCCATAATCGTCGTGAATGTATCACTTTCAAAAAATTAAAACCCGCCGTACAGAGAATGTTACGCAAAAACTTCTATGAACGTCATTTGGCTCAGATTAAACACATCTATCCGGATGCCTTTATTTTCTCACAAATGAAAATGCGTAACTATGGGTCAGCCTCAAAGGCCGACTACTTCCAATTGGTTATTGCACCAAATGTAGAAAATCTACCGGAAAAAATGAAAATGAATAAAATCGATGAAGACGATGTGCTAAGCTCGGCCCAAAGTAATTCCATGAATCCTCATGTTATGACCGAAAGATTACAGAAATTCCAACATTTGCTATTGGAAAAGGTAAAGGAGGAACATGAGAAATTCCTTCTCTCACTGGATCCACCACTATCAATTCCCCGTGAAAAGGTAACACGTTGGCATCCAGACTTTGATTTGGAAAATTGTCCCGAAATTCCATTGGGCAATTTGCCACAACCACCCAATGTAGAGAAATATTCCTCGGCCAAGGATATTCTATCGACCGCCAGGAATCTCTTTAATTGTGCTACCCCTATGGAAAGGGCATTGGAGCGTTATGAGGCGAAAATTGAGGCCGATAAAGTGCAGGCAGAGAATAAGAAAAATATTGACAACACAAAAGCAGAAACATCCAAAGAACCAGGCAACAATAAGGATATAACCAATGACAAGGCGAAGGAAGCAGCAGCTACAAAGACAACAACCGATCCAACAGCAGCACCAACAACCCCAGCGGCGGCCCCGGCAGCAGATGCAACAGCTTCACTACTAAAGGGTGTACCCAAATCTCTATTGGAAAAAATTCGTGCAAAACAAGCTGCCAAGGCCTTAGATGCCATGACACGTCGTCCCTCACAGGATCAAGAGGCTGCCAACTATTCACGTCTACCCGAATTGGCTCGCCATTTACGCAATGTTTTCATTACCGAACGCAAAGGTGTTCTCACGCAAGAAATTGTCATTAAGAAAATCCAAAATAGTTTCCGTACAAGTCTGACCGCCCAAGAAATTGAAAAACATTTGAAATTGATTGCCAAAGAAGTACCCGCCTGGGTTGCATTCCATGAAGTGCGCAAAACTATGTACTTGAAAATCAACAAGGAAATGGATTTAACAAAAGTCATAGAACGCCTGGAAGCTGTGGCCAATGAGAAAAGTAAAATGTAAATGGCGATGGATCATAATGCAGAGCAATTATGCCGGGAACTGCAACTAATCACAGAGTACAAGGTTGATTTGATTAACGATCAGCCAACTAGGAATATTTTTGGACCCGCCCTCCCTCACACACACCATTAAAACACACCCTTTATTTTGAATTCTAAGACATTGAAGTATGACAATTATGTCTTTATAATTTAATACCTCACATATATAAAATACGCTTTTTGTACCACAACAAAAATTATATTTTTTTCTTAATTATATTAGCATCTAAATCATCACATATCCTTAACTCTCACCATGAATTCACCTAATTGTTCTATATAAATATTAAAAAACACAAAATTATATTTGGACATTTATTTAATTTTATTTATGTTATAAGTGTATTTTTATTATTATATTTATAGTTATATCTATGCTGCATAACAATTCTCTCTAAGTTATTTGTTATACAAATAGTTTTTTAAGTACTTCTACATTGGGAAATTATTTATCCCCCTCCCGGCCCCACAAAAAACAACAACAAACTTATATACCTTTGGTACTACATTTTTGGAAAACCTTAAATGTTTAACAACCCCACCTCCACTACTACACCAACACCACCACCCATTCATCACTAACAAACAACTAACCCATCATATTATTCTTTGTTAACCAACTGACCTGACCTCCCCATCCCATTCCTCTTCTTTGATTATTTATCCCATTTTCCTTAGAATTGTTGTTAATTGTTTAATAATTTTTTCATTAATTACTTGATTATAAAACAAAAAAACCTAAACAAATTATTTACTTTATAACTTATGAATGTTCGTTAAGTATATATGTAGAGTTTAATTTTAATCAAAAAAACAAAAAAGTATATATAACTAGTTTACAATTTATTTTCTATAAAATTAAATAATAATAAAGTTTTGCTTATAATGGCAATAAAAGAAAATTTATTTTTGGAGTTCGTAGATTTTTAAATTGAAAGAAGGCAGGAAGAAAATAAGTGGGTTGCTAAAGAAACGAAGGATCACCATTCACAGGATATTTTATCCCTCTATGGTGTGTAATATTTATGAGTCCACTAGCATACCGGATCTCATCTTTGTTGGAGACTTCTATAGAAAATGAGTTATTCGTTGGATAGATTGGGAGATCTTTGCTGGAGACTTCTATAGAAGACGTTAGAGACTTGCTTCAAATATCAACCAGTGACTATCGCTTATCCTACCATAGGGATCAGAGCCTTAGCACCAACCGCTTCACCTTTTTCAATTGCCGTATAATCGGGCTTTGATACAGAGCCCTCCACACGTCGTTCACCCTTATGGATTACAGTTTGCGTTGGGGGCTTCGGGTCAGAAGTCAGCTTCACACATTTGACAGAGACAGTGGGTTTCGCCGACTCTGCTACTTTGCTCGGTTCCGAGGTCTCCTTGGAGACTTTTGACAGAGCCGTCTGTTTCGGCAGGGAGATCCTGTCCATCTGGAGCGTGCGGGTAAGTTCTTTCGAACGTCCTTACGAATTTCATCTTGCCCTTGATGAGATGAACCTCCCTCTACGAAGGCAAATTCGCATCTAGCCCTACGAATTTGCGGAGATAAGATACGGCACGTTTATAGTGCTTCGCATCGGGTGCTTCTCGGGCAGTTCCGACTTTTGAATCTTTGTCGGTTGTTAGGGTCTCGATAGATTCCCCACCGTCGGACTATCGCAGATAGCATGTAGGTCGCCCCCTCCCAGAACTACAGTCCTGTCAGTCGTAGACTGATTTGCATCAGTATTGACTAGCTCGTTTTCCATTTGAATTGCCGGGTTATCTTTTTATACCCTTCACCACACTGTGGTACAGGGTATTATGTCTTTGTGCATATGTTTGTAACAGGCAAAAGGAAACGAGATAGACACATGGTTCCTTTTGAGAATATGCATAGAATCACTTTCTGAGTCGATTTACGCATGTCCGTCTGTCCGTCCATGTATTTTTGTGAACAAAGTACAGGTCGCATTTATAATCCGATATGAATGAAATTTGGCATATGTCACTTATTTGGCCCAAGGACGAACCCTATTGAAATTGGGAAAAATCGGTTCAGATTTAGATATAGCTCCCATATATATATTCGTCCGATTTAATGTAAAAAGTCCCTATATATCTTCTGAATCTTCCGAAATTTGGCAAATCGTAATGAATTAGGAACAGAATGATGTGTGCTGAGTTTCATGAAAATCGGTTCAGATTTAGATATAGCTCCCATATATAGTTTCGTCCGATTTTATATAAATGGTGCACCAAAGTCCCTATATAACATTCGATTTGCACGAAATTTGGCACAGCGTAATGAATTAGGCCTAGAATGATGTGTGCTGAGTTTCATGAAAATCGGTTCAGATTTAGATATAGCTCCCATATATAGTTTCGTCCGATTTTATATAAATGGTGCACCAAAGTCCCTATATAACTTTCGATTTGCACGAAATTTGGCACAGCGTAATGAATTAGGCCTAAAATTATGTGAGCTGAGTTTCATGAAAATCGGTTCAGATTTAGATATAGCTCCCATATATAGGTTCACCCGATTCAATGTAAATGGTCCACCAAAGTCCCTATATATATTTCGATTTGCACGAAATTTGGCACAGCGTAATGAATTAGGCCTAAAATGATGTGTGCTGAGTTTCATGAAAATCGGTTCAGATTTAGATATAGCTCCCATATATAGGTTCGCCCGATTCAATGTAAATGGTCCACCAAAGTCCCTATATATTTTTCTATTTGCACGAAATTTAGCGTATCGTATTCCATTAACTCTAGAATGATGTGTGCTAAGTTTCGGGAAAATCGGTTCAGATTTAGATATAGCTCCCATATATATCTTCGTCCGATTTAAGGTAAATTGTGTACCAAAGTCCCTATATATCTTTCGATTTGCACGAAATTTGGCACAGTGTACTAAATTAGGTCTAGAATGATGTGTGTTAAGTTTCCTGAAAATCGGTCCAGATTTAGACATAGATCCTATATATATACTATATACATATATATATATACATATACATATATATATATATATATATATATCCGTCAGATTTAATGTAAATGATGTACCCAAGTCTCTATATATATTTCGATTTGCACGAAATTTGGTACAGCGTACTGAATTAGGTCTAGAATGAAAATCGGTCCAGAGTTAGATATAGATCCCATATATATTTTTGTCCTATTTAATGTAAATGGTGCACCAAAATCCCTATATATCTTTCGATTTGCATGAAATTTAGCACGGCGTAATGAATAAGGTCTAGAATGATGTGTGTTAAGTTTTGTGAAAATCGGTTCAGATTTAGATATAGTTCCCATATATATTTTCGACCGATTTAATGTAAATAGTGTACCAAAGTCCCTTAATATCTTTCGGTTTGCACGAAATTTAGTACAGCGTAATGAATTAGGTCTAGAATGATGTGTGTTTAGTTTCGTAAAAATCGGTTCAGATTTAGATATAGCTTCTATATCTGACCAAATGAAAAATTTAGTATCGACGTCTGTTAGGATTCATCTGTTGAATATACCTAAAGTGGTGAAGGGTATCATATAGTCGGCCCCGTCCGACTTTACAACTTTCCTTACTGGTTTTTAGGTAAACACGATGCGGTGGTAGCAGGTACAGCTGCAGGTGCCAAGGCATCCATACCTATAACAGCCGGATCACAATCGCTTGATCTAGACGACACGAGGCTTGTGGTTTCACCAACGATTGCCGCCTGTACTGGGTTGGCGTAGTTTGACCTAGGTCAGCTCCACCCTGCACATCGTAGAAGGAAAAGGAATGTTGAGGAATGCATTAAGAACGGACTAATAGGAATCTACTCCTGCAAGGCAGCCTTGAATGCAATGCTGCTAGATGTGCTTTGATGCTCCGGGAAGCGGATGCCTGGAAGTCGCTGAATTTTGGCCACGCTTTACACGACGCCAGTTTTTTACTTTTTAGAGAGGAGTACTCACATCAGTGATTATACTCCCTCCCAAAACGACTTTAACGACATCAGAGTAGAGTTGCCTAGCAGGGAATCCTGGACAAGTAGTACTGGTACTGGTGCAGGCGTTTACTGCAAGGAACTAGACATCTATAATTTATATAAACATAACGATTTTTGCAGCGTTTTTTAGGCAGAAATCACGAAAGCAGCTGAGATAGACAAAACCCTTAACATAGGACCGGTGACTATGTATGTTGATGGTCTCGCCGCAGAGCTTCTTCGCTGTTGTCTCGTAGTAAGAGGGAGATTAGCGGTCATAACAGGTTACTGCAAAATTAGATATCTTACTTCCAAATGTGACATTAACCGAGTGGATTATTGGCGTCTATGTGAGGATGAGAAGAGCTAGAAACAATTGAACATATACTCTGTAGGTGTCCATCGCGGTGGCAGAAGACACAGACAGTTCGGCAAATATGAAATTGATAACCTAGCTTTCTTCTCTAAAATAGAACCCAATCAGATTCTTTTTTTCCAATTAAAATCTTCAAAACTGTCGTGGATGGTGCTCCCTCACACTTACAAATATAAATCAATTTCCATTGTTCATGTTTTTATCCGATCCAATGTAGAACTTATTGTGGATTTTAAACTATTTCTTGTTAGCAACAGCTGAGTCTATCTGGCAATGCCATTGTCAAAGCACCATTAAGCACTTAGCAAATACATAAACCATTTATACCACATTATTTTGTGGTGAATTAAATTTCATTGCTTAGTTACATTAATGATAATAATTCTCATATGCATTTTTGTCATCCGCTACATATAAATACTTGGTTTTATTTTCCACCACCGTGTAGTTTGAAAGGAGAGCCAGTTAGCACTCCCCTCGACAAGGATGGAATCACATTTAGGCCGGGATAGGCACAGACAAAGTCCCGGTCGCCAATTTTTTTCGTTTCAAGAAGGCATTTTTATTTTTTTTTTGAATGATCTACTGAGCAATAAGCCTGGATTTTTAAAAGAATATTTTTGAAGCGTGCAATTTTAAAAGAATATTTTTGAAGCGTGCAATTTTAAAAGAATATTTTTGAAGCGTGGAATTTTAAAAGAATATTTTTGAAGCGTGGAATTTTAAAAGAATATTTTTGAAGCGTCGAATTTTAAAAGAATATTTTTGAAGCGTGGAATTTTAAAAGAATATTTCTGAAGCGTGGAATTTTAAAAGGATATTTTTAAGCGTGGTTTTTTAAAAGAATATTTTTGAAGCGTGGATTTTTAAAAGAATATTTTTGAAGCGTGGATTTTTAAAAGAATATTTCCTCTGAAATTCTCCCTATGGACTCGCTGACTGTTTATTTCATTCGCAACTATTCAATAGCATTCAGCTTTGCTTCCCTCCGACGAATATAATCCTAATAACGTCAAATTAGTGGAATACTTAACTCTAAAATGATTCTATATATATCCTGAAAATTACTATGGGTCTTCTGCAGGGAAAATTTAAACATTTTCATTTTTCAAATTTAACAATTATTATTATTTAACCATTTTGACTAAAAACAAATGTGATTTTACTTTTTTTGTAACAATGTTGTGTAGATCTGGGGCTTACAAACAACCATTTAACAAATGTGTGTGTGTATGTATGTAGGTATGTCAAACTTAAAATTATTACAAAAACAATAAATAATTAAATAATTTTACAAAGTTCTTTTCACATTATTTTTTTCTATTACAAATCACAAAATGTATCTCTTCATCACATTCCCATCTGTATTTCTTCAAAATATTAACGAATACAATTGACAACCTATTTGTTTAAGGAAATTTGCTACGGCATAAAAACTTGAAGAGATCGCCACGAAAAGTGTTAACCAATCTAAAAACGAAAATGTTTGGGAACCTTTGGGTTTTATGTGCTGTTGCAGACCCATCCAACCGCCACGTTCCACCAACCAATGGACTAGATCATCTTCGATAATTTCTCCCACACCATCGACCAAACACTGCAAATAATCGTAGTGACCTTGACGTACACAATCGATGGCAAAGCCGCCACACACCGCAAACACAGAAATTATTTTGGCCCATGTAATGCGTTCCTTTTCGGCGGTGCTACGTGAGAATAGTTGCTTCGCCACCAGATTCATTAACATTGGCGCTGTATCACTGTCGACCAGTTCGCCGTAGGGTGCGCGGGAAAGTTGCCGTGAAACATTTGTATAGATACGTGGATGCATGCGTTCAAGTTCTTCGCCCATCTGTGGGGGGTGGGGAGAAAGAGAAAATGAAAAATGTAATTAAAAGAAATTCTTGGTTAGTTAGTCTCATGGCTACTCACACTATTTAATGCCGGAAAGACTTCATAAACAACTTCTGATGATGGTTCTAATAAGCTACGCATTCTTTGTAGGACTTTACGATTTAAAACGCCAGCTCTTCGTAGGCGGGCTCGTATGTATTGACCACAAAGACATTTTCCCTGGAAGAAAAAAAATAAAATATACAAAATTAAAAAATATATTTTAAGAATATTTTTGAAGGACCTACTGAGCTATAAGCGTGGATTTTAAAGGGATATTTTTGGAGGACCTATTTGCAATATGCGTGGATGTTTAAAAGAATATGTTTGAATTACCTACTGAGCTATAAGAGTGAATTTGTTAAAGGACATACTTGGCTATAAGCGTGGATTTTTAAATGAATACCTTTGAAAGACATTTTTAGCTATTAGCTTGGATTTTTAAAAGAATATTTTTGAGTGACCTTTTGAGCTATAAGCGTGGATTTTCAAAAGAATATTTTTAAAGAACCTACTGAGCGGATTTTTAAAAGAATATTTTTAAATAACCTTCTGAGCTAAAAGAACAAGTTTTAAAAGAATATTTTTGAAAAGACTATTTTTAAATGAACTTCTGAGGTATGAGCGTGGATTTTTAAAAGAATATTTTTGAAGGAGCTACTGAGCTAAAAGAGTAAATTATAAAAGACTATTTTTAAATGAACTTCTGAGCTATAAGCGGGATTTTTTAAAATAATATTTTTTAATGATCTTCAGAGCTATTAGCGTGGATTCTTAATATATATATATATATATATATATATTTTTTTTTGAGCTATTGCGTGGATTTTTAATCGATTTTTTTGAAGGACCTAATTGGCTAATTGACTTATGAAATAATATTTTTAAGGACATACTTAGCTATAAACGTATTTTTTTTAAAGAATACTTTTGAAGGGCCGGAATAGCTTTGATCGAGGAGTATTAAAGGAATGGGTTTGAAGCACATGCAGAACTATAAGCGTGGATTTTAAAAGGATATTTTTGTAGCCCTGACAACTATCTGCGTGGATTTTTATACCCTTCGCCGCACTGTGGTATTATGTCTTTGTGAAAGAAACGAGATAGACCCATGGTTCCTTTTGAGAATATGCATAGAATCACTTTCTGATTCGATTTATGCACGTCCGTCCGTCTGTTTGTGTGAAGTTTGATGTGTGTGAAGTTTTGATTAAATCGGTTCTGATTTAAATATATCTCCCATATACATTTTTTTTGCCGAATTTCATACAAATGTTGCACTAAAAGTTCAAGTTAGCCCCATTGGCATTCAATTTTTTTATAGATATCAGAATGGTATGGTCTTTTATTAGTGCAAATATATATGTAGATCACATTTGTTTTCACCCGATTCCATGTCAATGGTCATCCACCGATGCTATGTCTCTTCTATCAACAGGATATTGTACACATTACCATCTCTTGTATGTATACACAGTGGTGAAGGGTATCAGATAGTCGGCCCCGACCGACTTTTGGACTTTTCTTACTGGTTCAACCTGTGTAGCTGTTATTTGGCACTCAAATTTGCTGGTGAATAAAAAAATAGATCATAAACAATTTTAAAAACCCATGTGCCTGTTAGTTTCTTAGAACATAACGTACTAGCAGACATAATCTATATATATAAAAGAGCTTAGTGTTAAGTGAGTGAGTGAGTGACTGACAGATCATCGCCCAGACGAAACGGCTAAAGCTAGAAGCTTGAAATTTTGAGAGTGGGTTGGTGTTGGTGTGTAGGCGTGAGATAAGGCTGGGTTTTTGGAAATTCGAACTAGAAGGGTACGAAAAGTACTAAAATGTACCAAATATGGTACCCTTTGTCTTAGGCGAACGGGAAGAGCTAGAATTCTGAAATTTGGAATGTGGGTCACTGATGTAAAGTTAGGAAGAAGCGTTTTTGGAAATTCGTACTAGAACGGTACGAAAAGTACTAAAAAGTACTAAATGTGATACCATTTGTATTTGGCGAACCGGTAGAGCTAGAACTCTGAAATTTGGATTGGTGGTCGCTGAGTGTAGGATAGATGTACCAACGGGTTTTTGGAAATTCGAAATAGAAGGGTACGAAAAGTACTAAAATGTACTTAATTTTGTACAATTTCGTAGCATGTGAATTGATAGAGCTAAAAACTTGAAATTTGGAATGCGACTTAGGGATGAGATGTAGAGTCTATTTAAGTAGATGGTTTTGAAAGCGTGTACTCATGTGTACGAAAAGTACTATATGATACTATATTTGGTACAAATTTAATTTGGAGATACAAATCGAGCTGGAATCCTGAAATTTGAAATTAACATTAGGAGTTGGACATCTGAGTGTAGAATTGGGAATGTACGTAGTTTTGGAATTTTTTTACCCAGTTTCAGTAATTTATATTCATGTTAAGTGGGACGTTTTGGAAATTCGTACTACTGTGTACTAAATTTGGTACAATTTGAATTGTGAGTGAACCGAAAGAGTTGTAATCCTGAAACTTGGATTTAGCATCTCTGTTTAGGGTAAGTAAGAAGTTTTCGAAATTCGTACTATTGTGTACTAAATTTGGTACAATTTGAATTGTGAGTGAACCGAAAGAGTTGTAATCCTGAAACTTGGATTTAGCATCTCTGTTTAGGGTAAGTAAGAAGTTTTCGAAATTCGTACTAATGTGTACGAAATATCGTACAATTTGAACTGTAGGTGAACCGATAGAGTTGGAATCCAGAAACTTGGATTTAGGATCACTGTGAGGGTGTAGGATTGGGGTCTGTAGGAAGTTTTGGAAATTCGTACTACAGTGTACTAAATTTGGTACAAATTGAATTGTGGATGAATCGATAGAGTTGGAATCTTGAAACTTTGATTTAGGATCACTGTGGGGGTGTAGAATTGGGGTATGTAGGAAGTTTTGGAAATTCGTACTACAGTGTACTAAATTTGGTACAAATTGAATTGTGGATGAACCGATAGAGTTGGAATCCTGAAACTTGGATTTAGGATCACTGTGGGGGTGTAGAATCGGGGTATGCAGGAAGTTTTGGAAATTGGTACTACTATGTACTAAATTTGGTACAATTTGAATTGAGGGTGAACCGATAGAGTTGGAATCCTGAAACTTGGATATAGGATCACTGTGGGGGTGTAGGATTGGGGTCTGTAGGAAGTTTTGGAAATTCATAGTACTGTGTACTAAATTTGGTACAATTTGAATTGGGGGTGAACCGATAGAGTTGGAATCCTGAAACTTGGATTTAGGATCACTGTGAGGGTGTAGGATTGGGGTCTGTGGGAAGTTTTGGAAATTCGTACTACAGTGTACTAAATTTGGTACAAATTGAATTGGGGATAAACCGATGGAGTTGGAATCCTGAAACTTGGATTTAGGATCACTGTGGGGGTGTAGGATTGGGGTATGTAGGAAGTTTTGGAAATTGGTACTACTATGTACTTAATTTGGTACAATTTCAATTGAGGGTGAACCGATAGAGTTGGAATCCTAAAACTTGGATTTAGGATCATTGTGGGGGTGTAGGATTGGGGTATGTAGGATGTTTTGGAAATTGGTACTACTGTGTACTAAATGTGGTACAATTTTAATTGTGGGCGAACATATAGAGTTGGAATCCTGAAACTTGGTGTTAGGATCACTGTGGTGGTGTAGGATTGGGGTAAGTAGGAGGTTTTGGAAATTCGTACTACTGTGTACTAAATTTGGTACAATTTGAAACTTGGATTTAGGGTCACCGTGGGGTTGTAGGGTTAGGGTAAGTTGGAGGTTTTGGAAATTCATACTACTGTGTGCCAAATTTGGTACAATTTGGATTGTGAGTGAACCGATAGCGTTGGAATTCTGAAACTTGGAATTAGGATCTCTGTGAAGTGTAGGTTTGGGTTAAGTAGGAAGTTTTGGAAATTCATACTACAGTGTACAGTCATTATGGGGGTGTAGGATCGGGGTATGCAGGAAGTTTTGTTGGAAGTAGAAGGGTACGAAAAGTACTAAAATGTACCAAATATGGTACCCTTTTTATTAGCGAACGGGAAGAGCTAGAATTCTGAAATTTGGAATGTTGGTCACTGATGGAAAGTTAGAATGATGTGCAAAGGGTTTTTGGAAATTCGACCTATAAGTGTACTAAAGGTACTAAACTTTACTGAATTTACTTCCTGTTGTATATATATTGAACATATATAGCATGAATCTTGACATATGAAATGGAATACTGGTTGGGAAGTAGTGTTGATGTACGGAAATAAGTACATTCGTACTTATGTGTATAAAAAGTGTAAAATGGTACTAAATTTCGTACTATTTACATTCAGTTGAGTGTGTAGAGATGGAATCTTGATAATCGGAATTAGCTTTAAAAAACCGTACTTATGTGTACGAAAAGTACTAAATGGTACTTAATTTGGTGGAAGTTGGATTTAGGTGAACAGATAGAGCTGAAGTCTTCAAATTGGGAATTAAAATGACTGTTGGAGTGTAGGACTGAGGTAGATTATGAAATTCGTACTTATTGGTACGAAAGGTACTATATGGTACTAAATTTAGTACAATTTGGATTTTGCTTGAAAGGATAGAACTGAAAACCTGAAATTTGGAATTAAGATTTCTGTTGAAGATTGAGCTATAGAGACATCTTTGGAAACTCGTATTTATGTGTACGTACAACTTGATTATGTGTGAACGGATAGAGCTGGACTCCCGAATTTTTTAATTAAAATTACTGTTGGAGTGTAAGATTGACATAGTTTAGGAAATTGTTAATTATAGAAACAAAAAGTACAAAATGGGTCCGGAAATCTTACAAATGTGTGAACGGTAGGGCTGTATTCTAAAATTTTGAATTAATATTACAGTTTGAGTGCAGAATTGAGATATGTCGGTAATTTTTTAAAATTCGTCATTATGTGTACTAAATGGTAAAAAATTTGTACAATTTTGATTCGAGTTAACGGATAGAGATAGTAAACGTAAATTTGTAATTAAAATTGCAAGATTAAGGAAATATTGGAATTTCGTACTTATGGATACGAGAAGACCTAATTGGTACTAAATATGGTACAATTAGCTTTGTGTGAGCGGGAATCCTAATATTTGGACTTAAAAATAATTTGGAACAATTTGGACTTTGGTGGAAGTAAGATTAGGATTGATGGATTGATGTAGTTTTAGAAATTCTTACCTATGAGTATGAGAATTACTAAATGGTACTAAATTTGAAGCAATTTGGATTTGGTTGAATCTTGAGATTTGGAACATAGATTACTGTTGAAGTGTAGTATTGAGCTATGGAGACAACTTTGGAAACTCGAATTTATGTGTACCAATAGTATAGAATAGAAAATTCACTAAACTTGGATAACGGAGAGAGCTGGAAACCTAAAATTTAGAATGTTGGTCATTGACAGAGAGTTAGAAAGAAGGACCAAAGGGTTTTTGGTACCAAATTTAGTGGAGGTGACGGTGTTCGAAAAGTTCTAAATGGAATTACATGTGGAACCTGTACGTTTTTGCTAAAGTGTGGATTTCGGAAAATAGTGCTTATGTGTATGAAGAGTAATTAATGGTAATAAACTTGATATTAAATGTAGGAATAGAGGTGGAATTCAGAACTATAGTACAACTAATTATACGGTATTCACCATTTCCATATGAAATATTTTTGTATTCCCTTTCCGCATACGAAGTAGCGGGTACTTTGCTAGTATTTCATATTTTTATTGATAATTTTGTTCTGACATACGGAGAGTGATTGATGTATGTCTGTTTAAATCTAAATTTATGTAGTAATCAAAAAAAAAAAAAAGAGTATTGACACAAAACTGCATAAAGAGGGATACTTGAAACCATAACCAACAATGTGTATGTTTTAGCTAAGGTCTGTTCCACGATGTAGCAATAAATGAGATGTATGACCATCTGTCAAATTTTTCCTTATCATATTTTACATGGTTGGCAACATTGCACATCGAATTCAAGTAGAAATTACGCACTTTGACAGTTAATCGAGACATCAGCTGCGGTAAATTGACTACCTATTTATTGTGCCATGGTGACACATACTACGTTTACATTTAGCCGGATTTCTTTAACCCAGTGGGTTTCAATTGTCAATTCCTTTGCATATGTGTCAAGGTTCAAGGTAGGCCATAACAACTTATAAATTACAATTTTTCATACTGTGGCTTGTTATGCCAAAGTCATATACAAACGCCCAAGTGCTGCATTTCGAGTTTGCTCAAATGTGAAATATTTTCCCAAATTTGGTGTGATCCATTCCGAATTCCCAAAAAATATTGGGAATATAATTCGAGCACATATAGCCTTGTGGATTGAAAACGAAATGTGATCGTACGTGTTTTTTTGAGCACGTACAAGTTGAAAAAGAACGCTGAAGTAATATTTAACGTGTTTTTACAATATTTATTTAAAAAATACAGTATTTACATTATTTTTTATAGTAAAATTAAAGAAAAAAAGGGGCTCCTCCTTGTCTACAGCTTGCACACACTTTGTCTTCCAGGACTTTCATCACTCTCCACAATATTTTACACATTGTTGTGCGATCAACACTTATTTTTAAATCATTTGCCACTACCCTCTGAAATCCACCAACAGCCAGGAATCTTAAGGTAGCTGCTAACTGCAAGCTTTCGGGAATGGTACCCTTGTGTATGAAAGGACCAACTTCTCTCAAAATATCCATAAATGCTTATTTTTAACACCAGTATCATTAGACTTTTTCTGGTAGAAACCAGGGCAATTAATAAGCCATCAGGCATATTTTTTCTTAATTTTGTTGTTAAACAAATTGCAAATTCCAATGAAGCATATGTTTTTTTTATTGAACACATTTCGTAACATATTGAACACAGCTATGCTTTCGAGCCGCACTTTTGCTCGAAATTGAGCACACCATTTTGCACAACATGGGAATTTAAAAAAGTATGGGAATTTAAAAACTTTCGGAACATTTCCATGGGCGAAAATGTGTGACTGTGTGTGTAATGTTTATTCTGACATTATTGCCCATAAAGTAGAGTTGTATTTTCTCCTTTCTGACAAAAGCTACCCTACAGTACGTTTACATTTAACCGGATTACGTTAACCCAGTGGGTTTCAATTGTCAATTCATTTGTCAAATAAATCCTCATAAAGTAGGTTAACCCGTTAAAAAGTTCTAATGTATATGCCGTTCTACCCTGTATAATTGTACCATGGGTTAACCCGGTAAAAAGTTGTAATGTATATGCCGTTTAAGAGATTACGAACCTAGGTCCTCGGAGCAACACAAATGTTGCCAGACCACTTAACGTTCTGAGCCATCAACACACTTCCAAAACGGTTGCGCAAAACCATGTGTATACCATGGAAGCAATTGTAGGTGTGTGGTTTAATTATCCATCGCTACAACAAAAATCTGCTTTGAAAAGGACTGTTACTAGAATGAATACAAATGTCGAACTTTGTCAAACTTTGAATTTAATTCGCATATGCAAGTTTTGCATCAGGGCGGAATAAATACAAGTAATCAACGTTCGACCTTTGTAAAGCCGCAAAGGCCAATATGCCTTCTCCTGGCTTTCCTTTTCATTGCAAAACTTAGATCATCAAGCTCGACTCGAACGAGTATAAATAAACACATAAAAATTACTTTCAAATGATCAGTGCCCTTACAAGGCAAAATTCAAATAACAAAAATTACGAACATATTTAGAAAACGATTTAGTTTTCCAAATCCACTCCATTTGTAAATCTAGGAATCATTCCTAAAACGGAATTTACATTAGAACATTATGCTGGTTTAACACTCTCTACAATTTAGATCAACTGGATTTTGTAAAATGCATTCAGACTATAGCTTTTAGAGCGAGTTTGGACTACTAAATCAACTTGATCTCAAATGTCAATTCAATAGCGTATACCTCACCTTAATCATGCTCACAAATCCAGTGGATTATATTTGACGTATACGCTAGGGATCCGAGTCTAGTGGATTTGAGATTGAGTGGATTTCGTAAATCTAAACGTAGTCTTACCGTTATAACATGCAGAACCTCAATTTTATTCTTAATTTGATTTGCATAACTGTCTAAATAGCCTATTCGAAATTTTTATCCTTTGAGTTCTGGAACTTTAACATTGCTGCAGATCTCAAACTTGTTTGCAAAATTTTTTCAACATTTTTTCTAAAGTAATACCGACAATAGTGTACAATATCCGAACCGTGTTTACTACTTATGGTATCCACAGGTTATGAACTTGCCCAGTCATCTATTAGCAACAGAGCAACAGCAAAAAAATTAATAATACCTTTTATAGCAACATTTGTCTATTGTTTGTTATTGTTGTTGTTGCAGCTGTTTGTCTTGACATTTTAGCGTGCTCTCTTGACAGCTCTAATGAGACAGCAATTGAAATTCCTATAACATCCAAATGTAATTAAAAACTAAATAATAATAATAATAACAATCAAACGGATTTGGATATCAAAGTTCAGTTTTAATTGAAATTGAAACTAAATACTCTACTGTTTTGGTAATATGATGCAATTAACTTTAACAATAAAAAAATCATCTCAAACTTGTCTATAAATAACACTTAATACCTAGAAGTTATTTTATTGAAATATAAAGTTTTCTCGGGCAATGGCGCCCAACGCTTTTTTGTAATAAATTAAGCTTCATTCTGAACTATGGACCATAACCAATGATAAAATGTCGTAGATGATGCATATTTACAACAAGTACAATATGATACGATAATTGTCTTAAGGAAAATATATTTAAAACGCAATTTACATTATAACTTTTTACCAGCTTCACCAAAATTTATGAGGAATTATTTGATGTATATACAATGGAATTGACAATTCTCACCCACCAGGTTAACGAAATCCGATGCAATGTAAACGTAGCATAAATCATCTTAAAACGGCATATACATTAGAACTTTTTACGGGGTTAACCTACTTTATGAGGATTTATTTGACATATATGCAAAGGAATTGACAATTGAAACCCACTGGGTTAATGAAATCCGGTTAAATGTAAACGTATTATAAGGCTATGCCTTGTAAATCGACTGAATTTTTAAATCGAAGTACTAAATCCCAGCTGTTTAGACTAGTATTGAAATGGTATAAAGCCAGTCAGCTGATATTTGTTTACATATACATACTTACTTAGCTAGCTTGTGAAATAACATTTGTTCCACAAGCCGAGCTGAAAATAATATTTCCAGGCGCGTCGGTCTTGCGCGCAGCTCTTCCAATTTGAAAGACCATGTTCCGAAATGTTCTCTTCCACTTGTTTTTTTTTTCATCTAACTCATGGCCTTCCCCTTCTGCGTGAGCCAGCAGTTGGATCGCTTTAACATGCCTTCTGTGCTGAAGCATCCTCATCCATTCTCACAGCATGACCTAGCCCAAGTAGTCACGGCAGCTCGATACGTGGGACAATGCCGATGTCCGAGAATATATAGTACAGCTCATGGTTCATTCGACAGCGATATTCACCTTCAACGTAGATCGGTTCATAGATCTTTCGGAAAATTTTTCTCTCAAATACTGCAAGAGCTGCTTCAACTGCTTGCGTAAGTACCCATGCTTCAGATCCATATAACAGCACGGGTAGTATCAGCGCCTTGTAAAATTTTGTCTGGCGAGAGGTGCCTTTGTTCTTGAATTGCTTACTCAGACCATAGTAGCATTTGTTGGTCAAAACTGATGTCATTCGTTTTATATATGGCGGTACTAAGGTATATAAAATCTTTGACTACCTCGAAGCTGTAGTTCTCAAGTTGCACAGTTGGTCCGAGTCTAGTGGATGTCTTGCACGTTGATACCATCAACTTGGTCTTTTCGCCTTTTACTACCCGGCCCACTTTGGTAGATTCCTTTACAATTTGTTCAAAGGTGGCTGTTATCGCTCGCAATGTTCGACCCATTATATCGTTGCCATCGGCGTAGGCGAGTAACTTGTGTTGTTTGGTGTACACAGTGGCATTTCTGTTCATCTTTGCCTCTCGTATGACATTTTCCGGCAGTATATTAAAAAGATCCCACGACAAACTGTCACCTTGTCTGAATCTTCGTTCGGTATTAAAGAAATCCGATAGGTCCTTTCCGACTTCAACTGCTGACCTTGTGCGAGTTAAAGTTATTCGTGTTAATTTTGCAGGAATGCCGAATGCAGACATGACTTTAAACACCTCTGAACGGATAGGGCTGTCGAATGCGGCTTTATAATCGACGAAAAGGTGGAATGTGTCGATGTGTTGTTCGTGGGTCTTTTCCAGGATTTGGCGCAGAGTGCAAAGCTGGACTATGGTGGATTCGCCAGTCCTGATTGGTATGGTCCAACAATGTCATTGACTTCAGTCGTTCACACAGCACGCTGGATAGCACTTTATATGCGATGGGAAAAAGACTAATTCCTCTATAGTTTTCACATACCGTTTGTCTAATTTTTTGTGCACGGGACACAGAATGCTGAGGTTCCAATCATTGGGCATGCATTCTTCTAGCCAAATTGTACTAATCAGCTGGTGTATGCTCCTGACCAGCATCGTAGCACCCTTCATGAATAGTTCGGCTGGTAATCCATCGGCACCTGCTGCTTTATTGTTCTTCAGCCGATTAATTGATACTCTGACCTCATATTGGCTAGGTGGAATACAATCTATACCGTCATCTCTTATTAGTTCTGGTTCAAGCTGATATTACGCATTTAATCAAGTCATCAGCTACGCTAAATGGACTACCTATTTATTGCGCCATCTGTCAAATTTTTTCTAGTCATATTTCACGTGGTTGGCAACATGCACTTTGACAGTTAATCTAATCGTCAGATGCGCTGTTAGGACTACCTATTTATTGTGCCATGGTTGATACAATTTTTGCTACAAAAATAGGGTTGTATTTGAAATTATCTCGATTAGCCACAGGATTTGGAGCATATCCAGATAATGAGTAGATTTAATTTATATTTCGATTCAGAAATTAAATCAAAACAATGCACATTTTCACGATAAAGGCTAAACGCGTCTTTCAAGATGTTTTTTTATATATTGAAGACATATTAAAAATATCCCACAATGTTTAGCATGTCCTGATATTCTTTTGTATTCTATTTCTTAAATGTTCGCTTCTTAATTATTTTACAGACTTTCAAAAACATCTGGCAACATTAGCGTCAATGATAGGCCACAAAATCTGCATGAATTTCATAAAAACTCACGATACATTCTCCAGGAAGACTATATAAGTCCAATGTTTACAATTGGTGAGACTCTAATGTATGCTTCGAAATTTAAAATGGTTTCCAATAAAACCGCACAGCAACGACAACAAATTATCAATGAATATTTGAGAATATTTTTACTCGAAGATAAATCCAATACTAGGATTGCCAATATTTCGGGTGGAGAAAGAAAACGGCTGTGTGTTGCATTGGAATTATTAAATAATCCCGCAGTGCTGTTTGTCGATGAACCGACAACGTAAGTAAAGAATATGTTAAAAAATTAGAAATTATTTATTCATTTTTCTTTCTCTAATTGTAGTGGTCTCGATGAATTCTCTGCCACTCAGTGCATAACATTACTCAAGAGATTAGCCACAGCGGGACGCACTATAATCTGTTCAATCCACTCTCCATCGGCTAGACTCTTCCAAATGTTCGATAAGGTCTATGTTATGTCAGCTGGCCAATGCATTTATCAGGGATCAGTGGATGGCATAGTTCCGTACTTGCAAAATTTCAATTTGCAATGTCCGATTACCCACAATCCAGCTGATTACAGTAAGTGTTACGCCGAATTAGATTATACTTATGTTTGCACAATTCAAGGTCCCTTAGTTCATAAATAAGTGATAAGCTATTAAAAAAAAGTATCGGAAAATTGTTGTTATTGTTGAAGTCATATAACTGAGGAACAAAGGAAAAAATTTATAAAAAAATATTTTTGTATATAGATTTTTATTATTTTTTATATTTTCAGTTATTGAAGTTGCCACAAATTTCCATGGAGACTATCATGAGGCCATGGTTAGTGAAATTCAAAATGGCAAAGTTCACAAATGGCATTCCAGTGGTCCAAGTGAACGCAATACCCTTGTTACATCCTCCTTTGATCACACGAATCTCAATACAACGAAGGAAGCGAAAAATACTTGGTGGTCGGAATATTGCATAATATTTAAACGGAATTTACAACAAATGCTGAGAGATAAGGTGTGTTAACCTAACCTTAATTTTGAAAGAATTTTAGTTCTGACAAAATCGGATTATTTAATGAGTTTTTAGAGGAACTATAGGTTTCACAAGCTAGGATTTAAAAAAAAATATTTTAGGTTTGACAAGCGTGGATTTCTTAAAGAATATTTTGGGTTTGACAGGCGTGGTTTTCTTAAAGAATATTTTAGGTTTGACAAGCGTGGATTTGTAAAAAATATTTTAAGTTTTTCAAGTGTGGATTTTTACAGAATATTTTAGGTTTGAGAAGCGTGGATTTCGTAAATAAAATTTAAGGTTTGACAAGCGTGGATTTCCTAAAAAATATTTTAGGTTTGACAGGCGTGCATTTCTTCAAGATTATTTTAGGTTTGACGAGCTTGGATTTCTTCAACATATTTTAGGTTTGACAAGCGTGGATTTCTTCAAAAGATTTTAGGTTTGACAAGCGTGGATTTCTTCAAAATATTTTAGGTTTGGCAAGCGTGAATTTCTTCAAAATATTTTGGGTTTGACAAGCGTGGATTTCTTCAAAATATTTTAGGTTTGACAAGCGTGGATTTCTTCAAAATATTTTAGGTTTGACCATGGCACAATGAATAGGTAGTCCATTTAGAGCAGCTGATGTCTCGATTAACTTCAAAGTGGATAATTTCTGCTTATGTTCGATGTGCAGTGTTGCCAACCATGTTAAATATTATATGGAAAAATTTGACAGATAATCGAGACAAAAACAAATGTTTTTGTTTTGATACATCACCTTATTATTGCATCATGGGTTTGACAAGCGTGGATTTCTTCAAAATATTTTAGGTTTGACAAGCGTGGATTTCTTAAAAAAAAGGCTTGAGAGGCGGGGATTTCCTAAAGACTATTTTTAGGTTTGACAAGCTTCGATTTTTAAAGAATATTTTTAGGTTTGACAAGCTTCGATTTTTAAAGAATATTTTTAGGTTTGACAAGCTTCGATTTTTAAAGAATCTTTTTAGGTTTGACAAACTTCGATTTTTAAAGAATATTTTTAGGTTTGACAAGCTTCGATTTTTAAAGAATATTTTTAGGTTTGACAAGCGTGAATTTCTTAAGGAATATTTTGTAAGGAATTTTAGGTTTGACAAGCATGGATTTGTAAAGAATATTTCAGGAAGAATTTTGGGATTGACAATCGTAGATTTTTAAAGAATATTTTAGGAAGAATTTTGGGTTTGACAAGGGTGGCTTTCTAAAGAATATTTTAGGAAGAATTTTGGGTTTGACAAGCGTGGCTTTTTAAAGAATATTTTAGGAAGAATTTTGGGTTTGACAAGCGTGGATTTTTAAAGAATATTTTAGGAAGAATTTCATGTCTGACAAGTGTGGATTTTTCAAGAATATTTTAGGAAGAATTTCATGTCTGACAAGCGTGGATTTTTAAACAATATTTTAGGAAGAATTTCAGGTCTGACAAGCGTGGATTTTTAAAGAATATTTTAGGAAGATTTTCAGGTCTGACAAGCGTGGATTTTTAAAGAATATTTTCTGAAGAATTTTAGGTTTGACAAGCGTGGATTTTTAAAGAATATTTTGTAAGGAATTTTAGGTTTGACAAGCGTGGATTTTTAAAGAATATTTTGTAAGGAATTTTAGGTTTGACAAGCGTGGATTTTTAAAGAATATTTTGGGAAGAATTTCAAGTCTGACAAGCGCGGATTTTCAAAGAATATTTTAGGAAGAATTTTGTGTTTGATAATCGTAGATTTTTAAAGAATATTTTAGGAAGAATTTTGGGTTTGACAAGCATGGATTTGTAAAGAGTATTTTAGGAAGAATTTTGGGTTTGGCAAGCGTGGATTTTTAAAGAATATTTTAGGAATAATTTTGGGTTTGAAAGGCGAGGATTTTTAAAAAATATTTTAGGAAGAATTTCAGGTCTGAAAAGCGTGGATTTTTAAAGAATAGTTTAGGAAAAATTTCATGTCTGACAAGCGTGGATTTTTAAAAAATATTTAGGAAGAATTTTGGGTTTGACAAGCGTGGATTTTTCAAGAATATTTTAAGAAGAATTTTGGGTTTACCAAGCGTGGATTTTTTAAGAATATTCTGTAAGGAATTTTAGGTTTGACAAGCGTGGATTTTTAAAGAATATTCTGTAAGGAATTTTAGGTTTGACAAGCGTGGATTTTTAAAGAATATGTTAGGAAGAATTTCAGGTCTGACAAGAATATTTTATGAAGAATTTTGTGTTTGACAATCGTAGATTTTTAAAGAATATTTTAGGAAGAATTTTGGGTTTGACAAGCATGGATTTGTAAAGAGTATTTTAGGAAGAATTTTGGGTTTGAAAGGCGTGAATTTTTTAAAAATATTTTAGGAAGAATTTAAGGTCTGAAAAGCGTGGATTTTTCAAGAATATTTCCTCAAGGACTTCTAGGCCAATGGGCGTGGATTTTTCAAGAAGATTTTAGGAAGAATTTTGGGTTTGACAAGCGTGGATTTTTCATTCTAGTCTGAAAATATTGGATTTTTATAGAATATTTTCTTAGGAATTCTTGGGAGATTTTCAGACCATAAATTCTTATTTGTAATATATAATAATACACATTTGTTGTATAATAATTTATATAATTTTTTTTTCTTTCAGACTAATATGAAACTTATGGTGTATACAAATATCTTCCTGTCTACAATTATGGGTATTGCATTCAGCCAAGTCGGCAATCACGGTTATTTAGGTTCCTTTAATTATAATTTTGTGGTCCTAACAATAGTTCAATTTGTGTTTTTATCCATGGCACCAATGCTGTCATACGGTAAGTGACCCCAAAAAATATTTTTCATATAACGGAAAGCGATTTGTTACTCAAATAAGATTATGATCTTTATAGAGGGTCTCAGGAACGTCTCCGTATAAAGTATCGATTTAAATTTTTTGGTATTGTATTTGGTTTTATATATTTACAGTTCCACAAGAAATTTTATATTTGCGGCGAGAACATTTCAATCAATGGTATCGTCTCAGTAGCTATTTTATGGCCCTGGTGACATGCCAATTTGTCATGTGGACCTTCTCTTCGGTGCTAGGATCAACGATAATGTATTTTCTGAGTGGTCAACCAAGACAGCTGTTTCGTTATTTGCTATTTATCGGCATTACACTGCTCACATCATTGACTGGATCCAGTTTTGGTATTTTAGTAGGATCCAGGTTAAGATTATTGGTAAGACTTTAGATCAATATTAAAAAAAAATAAAATGATAAGTATGTTTTTTTCAGAATGCCCTATTTATGGGTCCAAATATGTGTGCCATTTGGATAATGTTTGCCAATTATGCCGTTGATCGTCCGCACTTTCATCCGCTGGAAACATTTTTGATGTACACCAGTTTTATGCGTCACTCAGTCGAGGGTCTAATGATAACACTGTTCGGTTATAATCGTGCCGATTTACCTTGTCCCGAAAAGTATATATTTTGTGCGAATAAGAAACCCTATTTTATTATGAAATTAACCGGGAATTTGAATGCAAATTATTTAAGTTCGATATTATTTTTATTGGGTTTTTATTTATTGTTTACTCTGTTGGCTTGGGTGATTTTGAAATGTCGTTTTTCGACCATGGAATTTTTGACACGAAATCGTCTTTATCGTTATTTGAAATATTTACAAAGGAGATATAGTTAAACTGAAGTTTGTGATATTATTGTTATGTGGGAAAAAAGTTTTATAATAAAATTTAGATAATAAAAACATTTAGAAAATTAATTTTAATAAATGGGTGACATAATGTATTGCACATTGTCCAGAATCATTCGACGCTAGTATAGTAAAATACTGTCTAAAATACCTGACAGGAAGCTCATGGGGCAAAGATAAAGAAACATTCATATTGACATACAAAATTTCGTCCGATTTTCCAATAGTGCAATCATGATGCAATGATAAGGTGATGTATCAAAACAAAAAACTTTGTTTTTGTCCCGACCATCTGTCTATTTTTTACTTATAATATTTCACATGGTTGGCAACACTGCACCTCGAATTCATGTAGAAATTACACACATTGACAGTTAATCGAGACATCAGCTATGCTAAATGGACTACCCATGGCTCAATAAATAGGTAGTCCATTTAGCTCAGCTTATGTCTCGATTAACTGTCAAAGTGCGTAATTTCTACTTGAATTCGATGTGCAGAGTTGCCAACAATTTGAATATTATATGGAAAAATTTGACAGAAGATCGAGACAAAAACAAAGGTTTTTATTGAGATACATCACCTTACCTTGTCAAATTTGTCTCGACCTTCTGTCAAATTTTTCCATATAATATTTTACACGATTGGCAACTCTGCACATCGAATTCAAGTAGAAATTACGCACTTTGGCAGTTAATCGAGACATCAGCTGAGGTAAATGGACTACCTATTTATTGTGTCATGGTTGCACGCATGTGCAATGTTGCCGATCATGTCTTTGTTTTTGTCTCGACCATCTGTCAATTTTTTCCTTATAACATTTCACATGGTTGGCAACATTGCACATTGAATTCAAGTAAAAATTACGCACTTTGACAGTTATCTATTTATTGTGCCATGGTTGCAGGAAAAATTACATAGCACAGTTTTTTTATATCCAGTAGATCTAAATTGTCAATTCCATTTTAAAATGGCAAGAATTAACATAAATTAACTTTTTATGGATAATTGCAAAACAACAACAAATATTTTATAATGTAAAAATATAGTGTTCTTTATTATACGAGTGTAAAAAAGACATAATCATGTATCTCATTGATTATCTAGATCCCTAGATATAATTGTAATAATTATCATTTGTAATTAGGTGACACAAATTAATATTCAGAAATATAAACAAAAAATAAGTACAAAAGTCTTTAAGTTCAGCAGTGACAAACTTAATACCTTGCACTATAACAAAAACACCTAAAAAGTTGTCAAGCACAGTAAACGTAGATTCTAAAATCGTTATTTATTTTACATACATATATACAAAGGAAATTACAACTTAAAATCGGAATTAAATAATGATTTGTCATAAAACATGTTATATGTAATTGTATTCCCCATATACTGATCATTGTACTATAAATAGGTAGTGCATTTAGCGCAGCTGATGATTCGATTAACTGTCAAAGTTCGTAAAAGGGACAAAAACGAATATTTTTGTTTTGATAATGAGGTAATGGCCTTATTATTACATCATGAGTTTGATGCAATAATAAGGTAATCTATCAAAATAAAAACGTCTGTTTTTTCGATTATCTGTCAAATTTTATCTAGTAACACTTGTCATGGTTGGCAACATTGCACATCGAATTGATTAGGTCATCCAGGGAGATCAGCTGGATATCAGCTGTTTCTCAAGTTTGCTTTAGAAACTATTGGTCTGTTCCAGTACTTTTTTAATAGTAAATCTAGTAAAAGGGAAACATTTCAAAATTGCTCTCAGAGTACAAAATAATTTGAAAAGTTCGGGAACGCAAATCTAGTAAATATGCCAAAAATAGATGGCAATACTTCAAAATCAACATAACAGGAAATCAGAAGTAGGCATTCCTGTTTACCATTTTTACTCGACCAAATTTCTCGAGTAAAAAGTTTTCAAAGAGTACGCCATTTTGTTTTGTGCTCTCTTAAATTTGACGGTTTTCGAGTATAAAGTTGCAAAACATGTAAAATTAGTAGATTCTATAAGGTTCTGGAACGGAACTTATGCTCTTTGACAGTTAATCGTATAGTTAGCTGCGCTAAAAGGACTACAAATTTATTGTCAAATAAAATCCACTAACTTTCGGACTTTCGGACTTGGCGTTTTAAGTTGGCTTATTTTATTGTAAAAGAATAAAGGAGAACGGCGTCCAAGTACAAGTTTGACTCTGATATTCCTTCATAAATTGACAATTCAAACCATGATGCAATTATAAGGTGATGTATCAAAACAAAGGTTTTTGTTTTGGTCTCGATTATCTGCCAAAATGTTTCCTTATAATATTTCAAATGGACATTGAATTTAAGTAGAAATTACCCACTTTGACAGTTAATCGAGACATCAGCTGCGCTAAATGGACGGAACTTAACAGGGATGGCCGGAATCCTGGTAAGTGTTTCCTTTAGGTTTAACACACTGCGTTAACGAAATCCGATACAATGTAAACGTACTATTATGAACTTCTTTGCCCTTATAATTTTCCATCGATTTTGAATTAAATATTTTATATATAGTTCTACAAGAACTTGTATATCGTCGGGACCTTCTCTTCAGTACTGGGACCAACAATAATGCATTTCCTTAGCGATCAGTCACGACAGATGTTTCATGTTCACATCATTGTACAATTATTCAAGTTAGGTTATTGTACAATTATACAAGGTAGGGTATGTTTTGTCAACAAAGAAAAATACACCTCTACGTTTTGGGCTATAATGTCAGAATAAATAAAAAATAATACAACAAGTCGTTCTGTAAATTTGACATATGTTTAAAATTTTACAATAACGCTGGGGACTGGTGCCCTTGTCTACATGTATCAATAATCTCGTTCTCCGTGTTTTCTTTTAGTAAGACATTTTATATGGCGGTTTCTCATTTCCCTCCGAGCATTTTCTTTTTGCACACCTCTATTTTACTAAAAACGTGTAAATGAATGGAATATCAGGTTTTCTTTTCAAAATTGAGTTGGGAATAAGATTTAGATATTGATTCATCCACAAATCATAAATTTCTTCTTACCAATGTTGTAAATGGATTTTTGTGAAAATATTTGTTTTTTAATAAAATTATAAATGACCAAATGAAAAAACGTGCAATGACATGATTAGTTTTTTTTAAGGTATGTATATACTTTTTCCCCGAAGCTAATTTTAAATGTCAACACTTCAGAAAAATCCAACTGAAAAAACCTTTGTAGATTTTGGTAACTTTATTTATAATTCTATTGGATTTTATAGCATACTTTTAGGCTTCATATTCAAGAAATACACCGATAAGCAAAAGTTTCTTCCACTGTGGATAGGGTGGAATATTAGTAGAGAAAAGAAGAAAGAAATTGCAAATTTTATTTGCGCATTTCGGTATTATAATAATATCCGTTGTTACATCTGATCAGACATGTAGAACTGATCAATTGGAAGATTTTGCCGGCTAAAGGGGGTGACACATACGAGGATTTAATTTATAAAGGGATATCAAAGTAAAACTTGATTTTTGACGCCATTCTCCTTCATTCTTTAACAATTAAAAAAGTCAACATAATGGGTCTCATGGATAATATGTGAGCCTGAGCTTGGACTCGATTTTTTGAGTAAAAGGTGCTTGTCGTATGCATAATAAAATTTGATGTATTTGCTTTTACTAACTGCTCACGTTTGATCTCTTCTTGCTCAGTTTGAACTTAGAAATCGAATTTGGATGAGATTGTTCTCATTTTCATATGCATAAAAAGAAGCTGAATATTTTGTACCAAAAATAAATAAAAAATGTTATCAACAGCGTAAGACAAATTTAGCAGGGGAGGATAAAGCATTATACAAATTTATTCACCTCAAAATTAAATACATGTATTTCAATGAATGTTACCCAAACACGCATTGCGTATAAAAATATAAAGTTGCAAAATGTCAACATTGACAATGCGTATTTTGGAATTTTTGTTTTTTGAAAATAGAATTCCAGTCATTGAAAATTTTGTTTTTCTATAAATGTAAACATTTGTCGATCAATTAAAAAACTGTTTTTATACATTTTTGCCGTTTTCAATCGGCATAGATGCAAATAAAGTCCTTACGTATTTGGGTAATACGGACGTCTTACAAACTCTGTAAAGGTGGGAAGGTGTGTATTTTTGTACGGAGCGCAATAAATTAGGTACGACCCTTATACAAATAATAAAAAAAAATGATAAATACATAAATTGGATGGTAGCAGCATTTGCTGGTTAACGAATTATTTTTTTTTGAGGTGCCAGAAGAAAGGCGTATTGGTGCCCTCAGCAACATTGATAAAATTCGACTCTATATAAGATTCTGGATTCCAAAATAACACAGACATTGGACTACACCAATAAACTGTGTCGCGAACAATTGCGAATGTTGCAAAACTTATATCTCCCAAAGCAAGCCAGTGGATAAAATTCGCGAAAGATGCAGATCAAATAAATTATGGTCAATTAATTTTTTTTCTTATTTTTAATGCTTGATAACTGACTTTTTTCAAGTAAATATTTATTTTCTTTAATTTTTGGTACTAATATATATATAGTAGACCACTGATATAAGAACATCTTATATAAGAAAAAACGGACATAAGAAAAGGTTACACCCATATAAGAATGCGGTTTATTATATAAAATACATTCATATAAGAAAAACCCCCTTACAAGAACAAATTTCTCGATTTTTTTGGATGTTCTTACATCCGTGGTCTACTGTATATCGTCAGTTTCTAAATTATTATTAGTACTTACTACAAATTCTAATTCACATCCACTTGACGATATGTTAGCACTTCATTAACAATTAAGGGCTAAACAGAATGTTCGCGTTGAGCGTTTTTTGTTAACGCGTTAACGCACGCAAAAAGTTAAAATATATTTAACTCCGAAGCGCAACGCATATCAACTTCGAGCGTTTGTGTTATCGTTTCCTTGTGGTTATTGTATTTTCGATAACACATAACGCAACGGATGGTTCAACGCGAGCATTCTGCTTAGCCCTTTAGAAGTTTGATCTCAATTTGCTCAAATAATTGCATTTGGTTTGAACTCATTTTTATGCATATGACATTGAGCAAAATCTTTTGCTGTTCGATCTTACTCAACTTACGAGCAATTTCTTACTTGACTCAACTCATCGCTTTTACTCGTTTTTATGCATGAGATCCAATATGTCAAGCCTGAAGTCCGCTAATTTGTTCTACCTTTATTATCCTCTGTGGGGAATTATTTCATATATATATATATATATATATATTGCCCCGTTGCTGGTCTATTGAAACGTGTTTCAATTAAATAAGAAAGGCATTAAATTAAAATGTCATTCACAACAAGAAATATACTCGTTTGTAGTATTATTTGCTTCTTAATAATATCAATTCTGTGCATTAAAATATTTAACACCAATTTAATTTATATTTTAGATACAGAACATAATTTGTATGTCACATCATTTAGGAACATTTAGACGATAGCAAAAATTCAAAAATTATGTGTTGCCAAAGTCTTGATTTAGATTAGGCGAGTTGGCTTGCGGCAATTCTTGTCGTTCTATTTTGAACTTGCTTGTCTATACAAGGCAATTCGGCTTCCAAAATATTTTTCTATTTGTTGTTTTTTCACATTTAAATATACATACATATATAACATGTCAACAAATACGAAATACACAAAACGAATTGCCAGAAAATTGTCGGTACAAGCAATTTTTTTTTCATTTCTATTCCCTTGCCCCTCTCTTCTACAAACAAAGACTCGCCGCAAGTAAACTCGCCTAATCTAAATCATGACAAAGCTTTTGATTCGGCCATTAGATGCTAATAGTACGTTTACATTTAACCGGATTTCATTAACCCAGTGGGTTTCAATTGTCAGTTCCTTTGCATATATGTCAAATAAATCCTCATAAAGTAGGTTAAGTATGAAAAAAATGTAATTTATAGGTTGCTATGGCCTACCTTGAGTTATTGTACCATGAGTTTAACCATGAAGCATTAATAAGGTGATGTATTAAAACAAAACAAAAACCTTTGTTTTTGTCTCGACTATCTGTCAAATTTTTCAATATAATATTTCAAATGGTTGCAAACACTGCACATCGATTACCCACTTTGACAGTTAATCAAGACATCATTGCGCTAAATGGACTACCTATTCATTGTGCCGTGGGTTTAACCTTCTTTATGGAGATTTATTTGGCATATGTTAAAAGGAATTCACAATTAAAACCGACTGGGTTAACGAAATCCGGTACAATGTACAATGTTTGTACAAAATCTTACTAAATGTTGTCTTCTTATACAAATGTTCAGTAAAAGTGTATGAATTCAGAGAACTATTTTGAATAATGTACTGAGTATTTAGAAATCTAACTAGAAAAATTTACATATTTAATTTTATTGTTTGAAGAACATGAATCTCTCTTATTCCGGGTTTATACATGCAACCTTTGTAAGCAACTCTGCCGAGTTCTTAGGAGACAAAAGTGACAAGGGGGAAGAAATTTCAAAGAGAGCAGTAGCAGAGTTGTTTACTCTCACGACAGAACTTATGCAATAATTATTACTGGAAAAGTAGGCAAACAAACCTAATACGTGTGTCAAAATTATCGATATTTGTCGGTATCGACACATGGTACAATTATAAAAGGTAACAGCAAATCCCAGCTGATTTGATTCCAACGTAATACTAGTGTCAATATGAATTTGACAAATTATGGTTTTAAAAATCACCCAACAGGAAAATTATAAACGCATACAATTTGAAATTGCTCTTTATTAATGTGCCCCCGTATTCAATTTACTCAATTTGCCTGCTGGGAAAGTTTCAGAAAGCAAATCTTTCTTGAAGGAATAACTCGCTATTCCCAGCATTTTCATATGTGTTACACATATATATGGCAATGGCTCAATTAAAGGAAAGATGTGGAAGCAATAGAAATATAAATTTGATAGATTTTCATTCATGTTTTTCAATTTTTATTTTGAGGATTCAAAACTATTTCATTTTCAAAATAAAAATAATTTGATGATAATTTGTTTGTTTGTTTACATTTTTCTGTCAAATGAGTTGACACTAGTAGAACTTACAACAACAAATTTCCATGTGGTTGTTGTATCGTTTTTTGTATAACAACACTTGCTGTTACCTTTTATTATTATACCATGGTATCGACAAAACATTTTTCAGAATCGAACTCCTTATATATCACCTTATTATTGCATCATCGTGGTAAGGTATGTACCATGGCACAATAAATAGGTAGTCATTTAGCGCAGGTGATGTCTCGATTAACTGTCAAAGTTAGTAATTTAACTTGAGTTCGATGTACAAGGTTGCCAACCATGTGAAATATTACACTAGTAGAACTTACAACAACAAATTTCCATGTGGTTGTTGTATCGTTTTTTGTATAACAACACTTGCTGTTACCTTTTATTATTATACCATGGTATCGACAAAACATTTTTCAGAATCGAACTCCTTATATATCACCTTATTATTGCATCATCGTGGTAAGGTATGTACCATGGCACAATAAATAGGTAGTCATTTAGCGCAGGTGATGTCTCGATTAACTGTCAAAGTTAGTAATTTAACTTGAGTTCGATGTACAAGGTTGCCAACCATGTGAAATATTATAAGGAAAATTTTGACAGATAATATTTCAAATGATTGGCAACACTGCACATCGAATTCAAGTAGAAATTACTCACTTTGACAGTTAATCAAGACAACAGCTGCGCTAAATGGACTACCTATTCATTGTGCCATGGTATGTACCAAGGTATATTCAATAAGGTAGCCGCATCGGCCCAGCTGTTGGTGCAAATAAATGTCAAAAATGTTGTTGTAATATAGAACCAAAAAAATTAAAAAACAAAATTATAAATGAAAATCTCCAAATTTTTAATACTTGTATTATCATTTTCTACAAGAATTTGTGTAAAAAAAGCTTATGAATCTGTTTTTTTTAGCAAAATATTTTTGACATATCAAAATACAACAACCGATGTTTGTTGTAGGAATTCGTCGATGCGGCTACCTTATATATCTACCATGATGCAATAATTAGGTAATGATGGCCATCTGTCAAATTTTTCTTTACAATTTTTTTTTGACGTAGATGGCAACATTGCACATCGGATTAAACATGGCACATAAATCTGAAGTCCCATGGCCTATAAATAAGGTCACCCAGGGAGACCAGCTGTATATCTGCGCCATTCAAGTTTGCTATCAAAATAAATTATTATGAATTGACTTCCATTATGAAAACGTAAACAAAGTCGACATTTTTGACATTAGACTTGAGAAAAAAACAGCTGTTTTCCGATTTCGATTGCTACCTTGGTGACCTTATTAATAGATCTTGGGTAGTCCCATCCCATGATGCAATAATAAGGTGATGTATCACAACAAAAACATTTGTTTTTGTCTCGATCTTCTGTAAAATTTTTTCATGTAATATTTCACATTGTTGGCAGCATTGCACATTGAATGCAAGTAGAAATTACGCACTTTGACAGTTAATCGAGACATCAGCTGCGCTAAATGGACTACCTGTTTATTGTGCCATGGATAGTCCTTTTAGCGCAGCTCCATTAACTGTCAAAGTGCGTAATTTCTACTTGAATTCGATTTACACTGTTGGCAACCATGTGAAATATTATAAGGAAAAAATTGACAGATGGTCGAGACAAAAGGTTTTTGTTTTGATACATCACCTTATTATTGCATCATGGAATTCAAGTAGAAATTATGCACTTTGACAGTTGATCAAATCAACAGCTGCGCTAAATGGACAACCTATTTATTGTTCCATGGTACTTACCTTATGTATTTACAAATATCGTTAAAAAATGTTTACTGGGTTAATTAGCTGAACATATCCATACATAAACATTTTACGTACATATCAGTACACATATATGTATGCGCAAATAATTCACCCAACGCAAAGAAAATTTTAGCAAAAGCAAAGCGAAAAAAAAGAAATACAAAATAGAAAAAAATGATTGTTGCGGTTCGAAGATAACAAAGTTTAACATGATCAATTCAAACAATTCCATTCAGTATTGTTTTTACCATTGAAATGTACGAATTGAAATGTCGCGCATCGACATCGGCATCTGTCGAAAATGGAGATGTATTTCGTAAATTATCGCGTGTCATGGGCGTCAACATAAAATTTGTGGATCTAACGTATTTTGCCCGAAATGAAGATCGAAGTAATTAGCAAATTTGATGTGTCTGTGTGTGTTAAAAAAACGAAAAGAAATTATTAAAAAAATGAAATAAAGAAATGAAGAAAATTTAAATCTATCAATGTATTTTAAGTGAATGTGGAGAAGAAAAAAAATAAAAACGAAAAATTAAACAAATTATGAAAAATGATTAATAGTTTTAGCTAATATGCTATGTCAGATATTGTATAATAATAATAGTGTGCTTTAAATATTCATATATGTAACATATGATTCGATTTAATAATAACGGGTTCATAGTATTTAAATTTGAACTTGTTGAAATCTGATAAGCTGATTGGGACTTTAAATGATTTATAGGGCAAAAAAAAAGAGTTTAAATGGAAAGACCCGCGACAAAAATTATTTTTGTCTCGCCTAATACGAATAAAAGAACGGATGTGTTGAAGTTAAGTTCCAACAATGAAACGACAATAGGTTCGTTCGTTTAATTTCCCGGTAGCATTTACTTAGTAAGAATTTGCAGAGAGTAAATACGAATTTTTCGTTCTCAAGAGAGAAAATTGCAAAAAGTAAACGAACAACATTTAGTAAAAAGATTGTATCGACACAGCTGATTAAAACAACAAACAATTTTGACGCAACAGCTGATTAAATATCAGCTGATGGTACAAGAAAATTCTTACTGAGTAAATTTTCCTTGTAAGAATTTGCAAATACTCAGTAACACAACTGTCAAATAGGCTTTCTAAATTCAATCTCTTTTTTTCTGGACTTTTGGGTATAAGAAACAACATTTTGTAATAATTTGTACAAATTATTGAGTAAACGAACGAACTTAATATCTTCCATTATCAATATCAGCCGGACTTTTTGTTATTGGATGATTACAAATTGTGGAGGGGCATCAAATAGCATTTGGTTTGCTGTGGCTTTACGATAAAATTCGAATGAATTATTAATAATTTCAAAGTACTGGATATTTTGTTCTAATGACACGTTTACATTGTACTGAATTTAGTAAATGAAGTGGATTTAAATTGTCAATTTCATTGCATATATGCCAACTAAAAACCTCATAAAGGTTAACCCGGCAAAAAGTAATTGTACAGTAGACCACGGATATAAGAACATCCAAAAAAATCGAGAAATTTGTTCTTAACCGCATTCTTA